TTCTATCTAGCAATCAACGGCTGTCTAAAATACACACACAATTACGCATCACAGAATTCTAGCATAATCAGAAGTGTGTTGGAATGAATCAGATGCAAAGTCAGAGATTCTGCTCAGAAATGTTCACATTCTTTTCTTTGGGAACACACATAAGGCAAATATGGATCTTTTTTTTTGGCTTTAGTGTTATTAAAGGGTTATTTCAACCAGAAATTAAAAATACTTTCGTTCATCTTCAGAATGAAATCTGAGAGTTGGCTGACTCCTTCATAGGCTGCTTGTAATTTTATCTGCCAGCCCTGAAAAGTTAGTAAAGACGTCGTTAAAATAGTCCAAGTGACTACAGTGACTCAACATTAAAGGAGAAGTTCACTTTTAAAAAAAGTATTAATTTACTCACCCCCATGTCATCCAAGATGTCCACGTCTTTCTTTCTTCAGTCGAAAAGAAATTAAGGTTTTTGATGAAAACATTCCAGGATTTTCTCCATAATGGACTTCATTGGGCACCAAACGGTTCAAGGTCCAAATGAGAGTTTCAGTGGAGCTTCAAATTTTTTCCTTTCAGACCATTCTCTGTAAATGTTAAAGATGGTTGTGCTTGAAAATCCCCATAAATCAGCAGTTTATGAAAACTCAGACCAATCATGGCATGTTCACTTAAGTCACTTAAATCACCTTCCCTATTCTGAAGTTCATTCATCTTCTAGACCATGTCTACTTGCCTAAATGCATTAAGTTGTATAATAATATAATAATAGCATAGTATAATATATAGTTCAGAGGTTTTGTAGAAATAAACTGTGTGCTTCTAATTGGTGTCTATCGTTTTGGTGACAAGATGAACATAAATGTGTGATGTGTGAGAAAGAGAGTGAAATGATAGGATGTCATAAATGTGATTTTCATATGGCCTATAGATCCTTCAGGAGTTGCTGTACGGGCCTTCGGTTGATTGGTGGGCTCTCGGTGTGCTTCTGTATGAGATGCTATCTGGACATGCCCCCTTTGAGGCAGAGAATGAGGATGACCTTTTTGAGTCCATCCTGACCGAAGAGATCATCTACGCATCCTGGCTTGGCACAAATGCTGTGGACATACTGAAAGGGGTGAGCTGATCAGTGTTTGCTTAAGAGTTCTGGAGTCGTACAGACATGAATTGCTTTGAACGGAGCAGTATCTGCTTAAATGTCCTGATTGGTGGGAGGCATATGGTGTGAATTAAACTGTCACTTCATGCAACAATGAACATCAGTAAACAGTAAATACCTCCCATCTGATCTCTCTCTGTTCCTCATGCTCTTTCCCTCTCTTACATAACTATATTTAGCCTCGATCCACAATCCACTGCTTTCACATGACTAGCTAAAAATAAAGACTCTTCACATTGAATATACACAGGCACACAACCCCCCTTCTCTCACTCTATAGTGTTTGCTCTCACTGTGAAGCATAGTAGTGGTAGTATTGCTGGGGATTATTTTTTGAATTATTGAAGGACCAATAAATTCCCAGTTGAATCTGAAAATCCTATTGCTGAATGTTACGATATTTGACTGGAATGAAAAAAAACTGAAAACATGGGTCCTTCAGCATGACATTGACTTAAAAGAGTCAAAGAATAGATCAATAGAGTGGCTAAAAAGCATTCTATTTCTGGAATGGCATGGCAGACCTCAGTCCTGTTGCACCGCTGTGCTGTTATGTAGACGGCCCAGAAAAACACATGAACCATTGTAAGAAAAAAATATATATATATATATTTATTTAATTTATTTATTCATTTATTTATATTATACTTTATTTTAATCAGTATTGACATGATATTGGGTATTAAATTATGCATGTTAATTTTCCCTTTTTTTTTACATTGAGATTTCCTTTGCTATCATCTAACACTCACCAAAAGTTAATCTTAAAAACCCTTGTAACTTAGTAATGCTGTTAAATGTAATCTTTAGTAAATCAAAATAAACCATTTTTTAATGCGTATAATGCCTAAATTCACATATAGTAATATCGAAACCTAAACTGAATTAAAGCTGCAAGCAGCGATGAAAAGGGCCCTCGCACCAGTGCCCCCCGCCACCACCTGGCGGTTTTAGGAAAACAGAGCACGGTGGGCAGTATGTAATGATAATAAATATAGGAAGACTATGTCAAAGGATTTTTATTTGCACACTTCCTGCTACCAGCAGGTGGCGCTATTGCTATAACCAAATATGAGCATGGTCATGTGTTCAGGACAGGACTCTAATCAAACGTGAAGTTTGGGGCAGATTGGACATTGTATGCTTGAGTTACTGCAGGCTGTCTGTGGTTACCTAGCAACATCAGAACTGCAAGCAATATTGAACTATATGACATATTCATGCACAAATCACCAAAAGGCTGAAATTGGGTGTACATTTGTCAGGCTGCCAAGGGCACACCTTTCGACGAAAACTCAAGATCTTCACAATTTAACATCGCAAAGGCCTCATGATTACACTCACCAAATTTGAAGAGGATCAGATCAAAACTGTAGGAGGATTTTGTTAAAGTACAACATCAGAAAATTACGAAAATGCACAAAATCTAGGACGAAGTTCAAAATAGTTGACTTCCTGTTGTGTTTAGGGCTATGCTCCAAGAGACTTTTTTGTAGGTATTGGGTCATTACATGTATGCACCAAATTTCATACCTGTACGTGAAACGTAGAGCCGGGGAAAAATGTGGGGGTAATAATTTAAAGAATTTGCCCCACCCAATTTTGAATACCATATCACACGTAAATTTTTACACCTTTTGAATCGTGTGCAAAGTTTCATGAGTTTTCGAGCATGTTTAGGCCATCTAAAAAGTGATTCTTTTATTATAGAGATAATAATGAACAGAGCAAAAACAATAGGGTCCTTTCACCATCAGTGCTCGGGCCCTAAATATACAGTATCTGGTGTGTATTTGCTTTCACATTTAAAGTACATGCATGTTTTATAGACAAATGCATGATGACAATTTTTTTTTTGCTTTTATTTTGCTCAGTTTCTGACAAAGAATCCCTCCCGCCGTCTGGGTTGTGTGGCTGCAGAGGGTGGAGAGACTGCTGTAACCAGTCACCCATTTTTTACTGCCATTGACTGGGACAAACTGAACCGGCGAGAGCTTGACCCCCCTTTCAAGCCCAGAATTGTGAGTGAAAAATTAATAATTATAATATACTTTATAAAACGGTTAGTTCGAATCCTTGATTCTGATTGGTCAAGAGCTGTGCTTTATTCACGATAAAACACGGCTATGAACACTTCACCCAACGGTTCTATTGATCGCTATGCAACACTGCGGATCTATGTTGTTTTTATTTGAGCTTTCATGCATTTTACACATAGGAACGTTGCTGTTCATGCTCAGGGACTATTTTTTTCTAGCGGAACGAAGGCTTTTAGTGATTTTACTTCAAGAAAGTTGCACTATTGCATTGTTTTTTACTTTAATATTGTGTGGCAACCGTTTTATAAAAGCAATAAGGTACTCGAGGCAAGTGCTGTATCGTGAATAAGCAACGGCTGAAGGGGTTGCAGGCACTCCGCTTCGCGTCGTGCCTAACAACGCCCTTCAGCCGTTACTTAGTCATGACACAGCACAGCCTCTCTTACCTTATTGCTTACGTAAAGTAAATGTAGATTTATAATTTTAGTTTTTTAAATCTAAAATCCCCAGAAAACTGCAGAAGATGTGAATAATTTTGATCCAGATTTCACTCAAGAGGATGCTACTCTTACGCCCATTGAAGATGACATCATCCCATCCATCAATCAGGATGAGTTCCGTGACTTCTCCTTTACCTCTCCTGGACTCTTGAATGTGGTTTCGGAGATGCAAAGTAGAGCCGAAGAAACGTGTGACGTCATAAAGAAGGAACGGAATGCAGGAGAATTCTCTGATGTGATAGAACCAAATGAATTTTGACATTGGAGACTTGCAAGAGCAGTCTAAAAGAACATTTGGATACCAGTTTATTGAAACTTGGCCTATGCTTTAGCACAACAGTTTAATTGTCTTTGTGTCAGACGCATAGTGAGTGATACGCAAAGATCTCAATGAGACGCTCTATAACCAGAAGACACCGGTTTACACCAATCCGAACATGAACTTTTCCGTATCTAATAAGGCTCATATCTACTCTAAATGTTTATGAAATTTGATTTGAACCCCTCTGCACTTACTGTCTCTAACACCATCTGCCATGCACTAATTCTGTCAAAATTGTTCTGTTGTCAAGAAACCAGACTCAAAAGTTTTGTAAAATATTTTCATACATTTCATTGTTCATCTATGCCGTTTGTTGTTTTGTCTATTAGTTTGTTTGTTTGCTATTATGGTTAAGGTCAGAATTTCACCCATAATTCACTCAAGCATCTGTAGATGTATTTTATTGTTGATAAAGGTTACAGTATTGAGTTATCTTAGACATTTATTCTGTGACTCCATTAGATGGCATCTCCTTTCTGTTGTTCTGAAAGGTTAAAGGTGAACGCACTCAGGTGAAATTTTGACCATTTTCAATTTTTTCTATTGAGGCCAGTGGCACTTCCTCATCATTCTTTAATGTTGTTTATTTGGATCTTCTCAGTCCGAACAGAGCAAAATATCTATTGGCATTTGCTGTCATGTCTCAGCATATTTGCCACAGATTTCCCATTATTACTTTTTGTGCAGTAGTTTCAGTTGTGAAAACAATTTGTAAGAAAGTGGAAAAAAAAACTTTGTAATCACCATCAAATACATTCATATAGTATTCTTAAAAAAAAAAAAAAAAAAAAAACACTTAAACTTATTTTTAATGTTTTTTTTTTTCAGACACACTCTCATGGCAGTTTGTTATTAAAGGGATGGTTCACCCGAAAATGAATATCACAAAAAGTATTCTCGTCGCTTGATAAACTTATACTTGAGCCACTGTTGTCACATATTGAATGTGACAGTGGAATATTTAAACATTTTCTTCAATGACTTTCTGGGCCGTCAAGTTTCGATCTCTTAGGCAGCCTATGTAGAAATGTAGCAGTGATCCACCTCTCAAATGTCAAAACGTTTCCATATGAATCACACAGTATACATTTGTACAAAATCGCCATCTCAACAGTAAAGTCCCCAAGTCCCCAACAGTAAATTGATGCCTCGTTCTATTTGATGTAATCTACACACTTGCACTACCTCTGACATGAAGGACAAATGGATTTTCAACGGTTGCACTGACAGCAGTGTAGGCACAATATCAGACTGGGAGACCACTAGACCAGCTAAGACCAAGAAACGTGCTTAGGCTGGTTTAAGCAGGTTTTTTCATGAGTGAATGCCACAGCTTGCGTTAAATCAAACAAGAAAGAGTATTAAGGTTGGTTGCTGATGGGTTGTTTGCAAGATAGTCAAACTGTGAGGAAAACATTACTAATGAGAATAAGAATGAGTATATTGAGTAATCCCTAAACATTTTCTATTTTCCACTACCTCAGTAAAAACCACCATGACAGTAGGTTGACAGAATGGTTGATTCTGCCATATCATGCTGACATCATTTTGCTAGCAGTGGCGAATAGAGCCAAATAAAGATTAACAACAGATATTCAGATCTGATCTTGTGTGAGTACAACATTGGAAATGTCATGGGAGATCCCATTAAGCAACTTGCCCTTACAAGTCTGGCCCAGCCCCAATTACACTATAGAATGGTTTCATGGAGAATCAACATCAACAGCCCGCTTTCCTGTGGGAGACTACAACCCTGAAAACCAAGAAGCAGAAGCACAGCGCTGATTTATGTGTGTTGATTCATTTACAGTCATTAGCAATGTGGTCAAGGACATAACGGCCTACAAACAGGAGTTTCCTGATCCTTTAATGCAAGGTATGACAATTATTCTTTGTATCTTGCTTAATATTAATCTTTTATACATCTTTCATCAACTTTCCATCTTTTGCCAAACACATCTCTAGTAACGTGGCCCGTTGTGTACACCCATCCATTATGAATGCTGGTGATTGGTTCTCTTTCCAGTAAAGCTGCAGGTCTGTATGGCTGATCTCTTCATCAGACCATTCATGCTGTAAGATTGTTTGTTTCCTGCATGACTTTCTTTTGTCCCATCGCTGCTCTATGAAATGCAATTTCTGTAATACTATCTCCAGTTTTGAATGCCTGCTTGACTGCCCATGCTGACAGCCTTATTTTGTATATTACACTTTTTTTAATAACAAATATGGTACATTTTAACAGGTTTCTTATTAGGTTGTATTTCTTAATAACGTAATCAAATTTTTATAACAATAAGAAATGTCTCTTGTGCACCAAATCAGCATATTGATTTAAGAAGGATCATGTGACACTGAAGACTAGTAATGGCTGCTGAAAATTAAGCTTCTCTATCACAGGAAAAAAATAAATGTCAAAATCTATTAATTTTTTTTTTTTTTTTTAAATTGCATTAGTATTTCACAATACTACTATTTACTCTATTGTTGATGAAAAGCAGCTTAAGGGGCTTTTCAAAACCATAAAAAAACCTTACATACCCCTAACATTAATTGAGATATTTTACAGGCTTTGATTATTTTAAGTATTCAGTTTGATTTTTTTTGTCCAGATTTGTATGTACAGTATGTATATATTCTAAAGCAACGCGTTGCATGCTTGTTTATAGCCTATATGCCAAGAATGTGTATATGTATACACACACACACACACACACACACACGCACACACACACACACACACACACATATATATATATATATATATATATACACACACAGGCTACATACATACACTATAAACATGCATGCAATGCTTTAGTATGCAAATCAATATAGACAAATCGATCTAGCCGATAACTGTATGGCCCTGATTTAATTGCAGTTTGTGTATTGGCGACAGACTACTGTCCTCCCCACTTGCATCTAAACTCATTCCAGTTGTTATAAAATTAGCTTTCTGTAATGCGTCTCTTAAGGGCCTTGGTGACAGATAGTTTCCAACCGTTCCCAGGTCCAGTGGGCCATAATTACGTTTTATTGATTTTCCTTCTGCTCCTACGTATCCATTTTATTTGATCCATAAAATCCATTTCAGTCTTTGCACCACTTCAGCTCCGAAACCTTGTCATGAACCAATTTTGTTTATTCTATTGATTTCTTTCTTGATAAATGAAGGGCGTAACGATTAGGTCAAGAGTCCCTGAGGATAAAAAAAAAAGACATCAAGACATCTTCAGATATGTCAAAGCTGCACTCATTGTGCTTTAAGAGGCAATTGTGTGCAAACAGTAGATCTTTTATGTTTCTCTTTATTGCTGACTGAAGCTTGACCGGGCAATGGTATGTGCGCTTTTTTATAGCTTGGTGTTCATTGTAGCTACATCAACAAAGTGCAACACAAAAGATCTTTGCATGTTTCTCTGATCCCTCCTTTCAAAGTCCCTTGAGTCCATTCAGCTTCTGCTGAGGGATGGAGAGATCATCTCTGAAGAGGAGGATGAAGGAGATTACTACAGATTAGAGTTGGCACGTGTCCATCTGCTTTCCTCATTCATATAGGCTACACATCAGTTATTTACAGCAATCCAGCTGAGGCAATGCTAATATATTCAAAATGCAATTTTGCAGAGACCCTTTCATCAAAATTCAATGTATAATAGACCTGGCAGGAACAGTCCCTGAGCCGAAAACTATATTGGAGCAAATGTTTCCCTCAAGGACACAATGGAGATGGAGCATGGCTATGATCTATTTTATCCCAGTTGTTTGCTCTCGCTTCAATATCCCCTGCTGAATTCAAATAGTAAACTCGCTCCAAACCTGAAGTTCCTTGAATTTCATGCACGATCTATAATTGTGAGTTTCAAAACAATACAGTGAGAAAAGTCAAACACACGCTCACTGGATTTGTATAACTATTTTACATTTTAGCAAATTAGTAGTTATAATTCTATATGATCTCATTTGTATACATTTTCATACAATCTTTTTATGCCCCATGTTTAAGTTTAGGGGTGGACCTTTTTTTCTAAAAAAATAGTAGGCTATGTGTCCGTACAAACCATACATTTTCTCATTAGATCAGTTAAGTTATAACATCCTTCAAATATTCTGAAGAGACAGTGTTTTTAAAATGAACAGTGAAAAAATTGCAGATGTTTAAATAATCAAGTCTAAATGATTGCGATAGAGGAAGTCAGAGTCCACGTGGCCTGTTTCAGGGAAATGTTCTGAGATTTTTTTTCCAGTGGAAAAGGATGAGACACAAGGGTATATGCTGCACATTTCGTCGTAGTTACAGGGCAGATATAGGGAAAAAAATTTCCCTAGGGGAAATGGGGCTGGAAATTCCATAGGGGAATATAAATTAGTACTAATATAAACTAATACAAAATAGGGGAAATTCCAGTCGCAGGGGCTGGAAAATGTTGGTTGACATGCCCCTTTCAATTTGGGAAATGAAAGGGACCAGTTAATAAATGTCTTTAATAAAATTAACTATGAAAGATATATGAAGATTACAATATTGCTAAAACTGTTCAATTGCAAAATAAAAAAAATAAAAAAAATAAGTGTCAGCCAAAGTTACTCAGTGAAGTCAGCAGTCTTTTTGATGCCCCCCAAATATGATCATCCTCAAAATTTGAAAGTCAAAGGCATGTTTATAGTTGTAAAAATCCAACTTATAGGCTATATGTAGGCCTACATATATTCACAAATTATATTGGGTTTGTTTCCCGTAATGTTACCCTTCTGGGCCCGAGTTTGAAAACCTCTTGTGAAATGGCGGCTACTTGCTATCCATGCACCTCTGCCATCAAAAGGATTGAACAAAACGCCAAATAGAGAGAAAGTCACTGAATCTGATTCTATATTAGGTAAACTAAACTGCACAACTGATGTTCTCTTATTCATTTATGCAAAATGTTGTAAGGGTCGTTCTGGTAGGCACTTGATAGGCTATTTTGAAACCATCACACTTGACCTCATGAAAGCTGAATATCCAATTATCTTTAATGTATTAGGCACATCCAACAGCAGCGAGCGCGGGTCAGCTTCTACACGAGAGTATAATGGCCATTAGAGGGTTCTCGTTCGTTCCAAAAATATCCTCACTGGAGCACAGCGCGCTCCCGACTACTCCGAGGCATGTGACTGCGCGCCCACGCGATCCGTCAGGCAGATGCGGAGAAAGCGGGAGAGGAAAAGGCAAAGCATCACTTCAACTTAATTCAACTTTATCACCCGAACACTGGAACTCCTGCGGGGCTTACTCGTATAGTAGCCTACACTCGGTCAGGATTGGGCATAATTTGAGCGAACAAGGGATTTAGCGTGTGTGTTGGAGTCCCGTTTGACTATGGATTCAGTCGCAGTCGCACCTGGAAAAAAAAGGTAGGCTAAGCAAGCACCAATTTCTGTTTGGATATAAGGTTGTTTTGGCAATAATGTTGTTGATTTTAAATTTTGTTTTGTCCTTTGTTTGTGGTTGGTATCAGTATTATTTCAGTAATTGTCCACAGATAACCTGTTGTAACATTTAATTCATACGTTATGTTACCCCTGTGAATGAAGCTGTGACGAGAGTAACTTATATAGCTCATTTTTCACACATTTGCTGGATTTGCAAGATTTTTGCTTTATTACAAACTCAAACAAGTTATAGAATAAACAGCATTGCTTTAGAAAAGTGGACTGAATCTCAATGATTTGCGGTCGCGAGATTCGTTTAAGTTAGCGAATGAATCGTTTAATAATTTGTTTTTTCAATTAGTTGGTTGAACCGGTTCACAAAGATGGTCTGAACGATTCGTTCACGAATCGGACTGACTGAGCAGATGTCAATTCAAGAATTCCGTGAAGATTAACCGAAGCGACTGCCGATTCGAGTAAGCGTTGTTGAGCTAAAACAACCTGGAATAGAACGGATAGGATTATTGTCCAACAAGTAGCCCTAGTCTACTTTAATCTTATACTTTAGTCGGATAGCTTAATGTTCAAAAATGTAAAGAACTTGAATTATAACTTGACTGTACGACTCTTAAACACAAATTGGAGTCAATATTTTCAGGTGTAAAATGCTTTTATTTTTTTTATTTTTTATTTTATTTTTTACCTGAATCATTGCTTCAACAAACTGGACTGGGAACCACCTCACAACCGGTTAGATACATATCTTTAAATGAAATAGACTTCCACAGATGATTTTGCTAAACTAACACAATACAACAAGACGAAGGTGTCAGCTAACACGGCATTAAATGTTACCATTGTAAAAGTAAAAACATTACATTACCATAGTAAAAAGATTTAATATTGAATAATTAGTATATAAAATAAACCAACACATTCTCATCTGTGAAAGGTTATCTCAACCAGAGGCTGCGCAATGTTGCGGGATCATTGATTCTTACTGTAAGTGATGACATGCTGACTGTTGCAAGATGGCGGTCTTGCCAATATGTCTGGAGAGGTCAAATGTGGCATCTACCTATATTTATGCGCTTAACGACTAGAGAATACCTATAATGTACTTTGACAGTCACGCCAAATTAATTCCTGTGTCTCACCAGATAGAAGATGGCACCTGCAGCTGAATTATTTTCCAAACCGCTGGTCCAATGTGGCTACGGTATAATACCATACAGGTATAAATTACTTTTTAATTGATTATTAGATTTTAATTAAGTTTCAAACATGCTAGTTTATATAGAGTTTAAGAAGATACATTACTACTGGAGATGCTAGTTAAGCACATAACTATGCAAAAGTGGGAATAGCTCTTTCGGCGCACTCAGTGACTGACATCACTCGCTCGTTTTCATTCAAGTTGACAATATTAGTGGAGTAATGTATAGTTAATGAGGGTATAGGGCAAACACAGCCCTAGCCTTGCATAGCCAGATCTTCAGACTGACGGCAGAAGGTCTGGACTCCATAGCAGCTTTTTTTAATTGGCCAAGGACTGCCCAGATGCATGATGTATAGGGGCGTGGAAATGTAATGTTTAGTTGATCCTGCAAGCGCTCATTGCCACAGTTGTTGTAACTGCTTGCTTCTTCCATAAGGGGGTTTGGCATCACGACAGTCTTGTTTCCAGCCTGATTGTTAGAGAATGTAAAGCATACGTCTCCTGGAAATCCTGTAGAATTCAGCCAGATGACAACTTTAAAAATCCTGAACTATTTCCAATTTCGTGTGCAATATATATCAGACGTTTAGCCAACGGTTCGTGGGCATGACTTTTGAGGCTTAAACTACAACCAAGCGGTGACATACTGTAATCACAGCATTAAAAGAATTGCTGATTGAATCCATTTTTTAAAATGAACCGATGAACTGACACTGAAAAAATATATAGAATTCTACTTTCAAAACTAGAGAACTGAGATCCTTTTCACTCGAATCACATTTTGGTGTCTGAGTTTGGGTTTGTCTGTCATTACTCATTACTAATAGGTTTTATTGCACACATAGTGGGTTTGATTGATCATCTCTTCCTTTAAAATCAGAGCTGAAAGTTACGGCCTAGTGCCATTTAATTAAAGAGTGCATGGCTAAGTGCTTAAATCAATTCAAGAGCCAGCATTTGAAATTAATAACATATTTCTTACACCTATTTTCAATTGGTTGAGTTTTGGTTTTTAGGTATGCAATGCACTTTACAGTACATTAGAATGTACATGTTAATATAATTGTTTATGCTTAAATTACATTAAACATTGAATTACAAGTGTAAAGGCAGTAATTTCAAATGGAAATACTGCCTTGTGCTACATAATACACTTGTAATTCAATGTTTAGTGTAATCACAAGTATAAACAATTATATTAACATGTGCATTCTAATGTACTGTAAAGTGCATTGCATACCTAAAATCCAAAACTTACAACGACATACAATGTAATGCAAACACTACATGCAAATGCGATCTTTGGGTGTTGCTCTGCTCTCCGAAAGCCCTCTGTCGTAAGCGCTTGTGTTTTGCTCTGGATCAGCTGACATTTCTCCTCTTGGCTCTATTGTGAAGGTCCCCTGTGTGCTATCAGCTTGTGGCCTGTCGGTGCTGTCATTCGCAGGGGTGTAAAATGAAGCTGAGAAAGGTTAGGTTGCTTCTTCACTTATCAAACCAGCCATTCGTCCTCTTAGAAACAGCATTTTTAAATAGAAGAGACTTCATTTATTTTGTTGACCTTTGCTTGAATAATGTTTTGTTCGACGTCTCGTCATGGGTTCTATAATTTATTGCCCCTCTTTTAATATGGATTTCATTAACAGGTCTGTGGTTAATGCAGGGCAATGTTAGTGTTTGTTTACTGGATGTGTTTTAATGTCTAATAACATATCCACAGGACGCCAAGAAGCCTTTTACAACAGGATAATGGCATTAACCTAGATTCGATCGAAAAGCTGACATGATCCTGATACCATGTTCTGTGTTTCTGCTTGTGCTGTTTTGAAGTACAGAAAGAGAGTATCAAGCACAGCATAAACATTAATTCTGGTAATATACACATTAACCTTGTTTATACTAATGGTCAAATTTGCAAAGTAGTGGAGATGCATTAAGCAGAGATGTTTTCCTGTAAGAAAATGTGTGTACACTGTCCTTGCTGAAATATTTAGACCATAGTAAGTGTGCTTTATGTGTGTGCCTTATGTGTGTGGGTAATAAATAATGAATCATGAAGTCCCCTGCAGGAAGCAGTTTGTACTGGTCAAAGGAAGGGAAAACAGAGAGCAGGTTGACTGACGGAAAGCTTATTGGATCATTATTATTAAAACATGCTGAGGGCACAGAGCGTCTCACAGAGGGGGCTGTGATCATGCTAAAGGCTCCGTCTGTCTGCTCAGCACATCTGAGATGACTTCTAGAATATTGTATCAGCATAACTGGCTTTTTTTTTGGATTATTGGATTCACAATTTTAGTATAGTCTGGCTCAAAGCTGTTCATATGGTTGGACTTTACAATAAGTGTCAGTTCAATAACAGTTAATGCATAACGTATCATGACCTTACAATATACAATACTTTTATAGCATTGATTTTGGTTAATTTCTACATACTAATACATTGTTAACGTTTCAATTTCATATGTTCAGCCATTCAAGTTTAAATAATTCAGCTAATGATTCAGCATTAACTAACGTTAACTAATTGAACCTTACTGTATTATAACTTATAACTTGAAAGATTGTGTAAGATCCCTTTTTCGTTCCTCATCCTCTTGCTCTTTGCTCACCACCTCTTACACGTTCTTATATTGTGTCCATTGTTGGGATTAACATTCTGATAATCTGATTTAAAAAAACTATATCGATCACTAACTGATGTTGAAAAGATCCCACACACAAACCTAAACCAGGATCCTCCATATAATGTTGCTACCGTGCAGTCAAGGTCATTGTGGTGTGAAGGTTACTTCGATATGCTGCTAATGATAAAAAATGTACCTTTGATTGTGTACTTCTTTTGTGCTAAACATGTCCATCTCAAGTACATACACATAAAAAGCCGTCACGTACCCCATTTGCTTCATTGTATATTTTTAAATTACTACTGAAAGCTTGTGTGTGTGTGTGTTGGTACATCACTATTGTCCTTTTTTTCTCCACTGTTCTGTTGTATCTGAAAGAGCATGTGTAGATAATGCTCAAACAGGTGGAGTGATTCAGAGAAACAGACAGGAAGAGCGCTGAGATCACTTGGTGGTTTCTATAGCATCCGCTTTTAAGGCGATTGGCTGGCTAGCATCCAGACATTCTAGCTGCACTGTATCAGTATAGAGACCTCAAAGTGAGGTCAAGAGTGTATTTTTGTACGTGCATGTTATGTCCTTTAATGTATTCATATCTTGTCTCATGAGGGGCTCAAGAGAAAGACAGAAAATAACACACATGCACAGGTTTTCATTATTTATGGAGACATTCTAGAGACATTATGATTTGTTTATACATTATTATACATAATGAAAGATGTACTGTATAAACTGTATATTATTTCCTCTACATCCCCTGCATTTCCTAGACTTTCAAACACTTATGATTTATAAGCTGTTTTTCTCATGGGATTTTTTTAAGGAAGACTCTTGCAAGATTCTTGAAAAATATATTTTTTTATTCCATATTTACATCATTAAGAGTGTCCATTCTGAATGAATTGGTTAAAAGAATGAATCAGTGACTCACTAATCAACTAAAACTCGTCACTTGTCGCCACCTACAGGTGTAACGATTTACCTGCGGAAATTCCACATCACTCATTAGATCTAGATAATTGTAAACATTTTAGTGACAGAAACATATTACCTGCCAGTTAGAAAATTGACCGCAAAAAACGATTTTAGAACCGTTCACCTCACAGTCACAGCCAACTGTTAAAAATTGAGGGCAAAATTGTGCCCACTGACACATCTTATCCCACTCCCCCTATAGACCATTTCAAAAGATGTAAACAACACTGGTCCAGAAGCACTTCCTGTTTCAGTTTTTTAACACTACATAAAAGCTGGGATAAAATAAAACCAACAGAACATTTAAAATTGAATCAAAAAGTTAAACAAACATCTTTAAGATGTTTTCTTTACATGTGAAATAAAGAAAACAGCTACAAACTGAAACAGGAAGTGTTTCTGGACCAGTGTTGTTTACATCTTTTGAAATGGTCTATACAGTGTATCCTAGTTAATCCAACCCAGGACCCAAATAAAGAGGTTATTATCCTACCTGCAAGCATGTCAAGTGGGCACCAAACTGAATGTAACATTCCCTCTTGACAAATGCATAAAAACATATCAACTTTACCAACTTAAACATACATAAATGTGTAATGTTGACTGCTTTAACAATTATTACTAAGGTTTCTCATGAATTAAATCTTCATGACCAGAGGAAATGTAATTAAATGAAAATTAATTAAACACTGTTGACATCTCTGAATAGTCTTGTCCACGGATGTTTTATGAGCTCTGGGTTTTCCATATTTTCCCCGAGGACAGCTCATGGCAAACATAATGATGTCAGTAACTGTACAGTAGGATCTTTGTGTGTGTGTGTGTGTGTGAGAGAGTATGAGTGAAATAGGTTTTACCTGCCATGTCGCCATAGAGTCTGTTAACAAAGCAACTGCCCTCAGTTCAGATGAAATTCAATGCGTGACCCCACACAACACAGCTACGGATATTTATTTTTTATTTATTAATGTGACATCATATCCTGTAGTCGACATTTGTTGCAGCACCCTTAGTAATTTTGCATGCCCGAATGCACCTTTGCTTAATGTTTGCAGCTGGTGTATTTGCAATGAAACCTATGCATGTATTTTAAATATATATGATGTATGTTTTTGATAGATTGATAGCACACAGGGGAAGGCATGTTTGTGAAGGTATACGTTTGTGTTTGTGATAGGGTGAGCTCAGAGCGAAGGAAGGAGAAATCCCGAGATGCAGCACGTTGTCGGAGAGGAAAAGAATCGGAGGTGTTTTATGAACTGGCCAGAGAACTACCCTTCCCCCACAGCATCACCTCTAACCTGGATAAAGCATCAGTCATGAGACTCGCACTCAGTTACCTGCGCCTGCGTAAGCTACTGAACGCAGGTGAGAGAGGACAAATGTTCGGTGAGATCATGCAGTGAATTCGTCTGCATGTGTTCATCTCTGTCTCTCTTTAGATGTACTGGATGTGGAGACTGAATTGGGCTCTCAGTGGAACAGTTCATATCTGAAAGCTCTGGATGGGTTTCTCATGGTTCTTTCTGCTGACGGTGACATCGTCTACCTGTCAGAGAATGTCAGCAAGTGTCTAGGCCTACCTCAGGTGATTTTAAGGGATTTCAACATCTTGGCTTGTTTACACATGCATGTGTGACTCATATTAGAATTATTATTTTTTTCTTTTTTCAAAATATTAACCGACAATTAGATTTTTTTATGAATGTTAATGAATATTAATGAGTGTGACATTACAAAATCTGAAATGTGGTAATTATTTGATTCAGTTTGATACTTATCAATGCAAGGTGAAGTGTGTGCACTCTTAGTGGAACAAAACAGAATTGCAAAATGTATATTTTCAATTAAAACAAACTAATTGCGGTTACATTTGATGCTGCTAGTGGTGCAAAAATTACGCAAAAAATTATTTTCAAAATAAGATAAAAAATTAAAACGATTTTAATGCTTTTGAAAGAAGTCTCTTATGCTTTCTAAGGCTTCATTAATTAAAAATGGATCATTTTTTTCAGGATTCTTTAATGAATAGAGTTCAAAGAAAAGCATTTATTTAGAAATCTTTTAAAAATAATTAATGTCTCTACTGTCACTATTAAACAATTTAATGTGTAGATGCTTAATAAAGTATTAATATTACTTATTTTTGATGAGAAATTAATTCATAATAGATTAGTTATTATTCTAGTATTTGTTATCAACTATAACATGTCATAATAATCCACCTTTCATTTTAAGATCATACTGTCTGATGTTAAACTTAATCTCTAATGGGGCTATGAAATGTGTAGCCAGGCATTAGAAACGTGAATAATGAATAATGAATTGTGTGTACTAAACCATTTCTCACCCCTGTAGATTGACCTTACTGGACACAGTGTGTTTGACTTTACTCATCCATGTGATCACGAGGAGCTCAGAGAAATGCTGGCACACAGAAATGGTAATGGTCTCTCTCTCTCTCTCTCTCTCTCAATCACAATAGTTAACACTTTCACACATCTCTCTCCCTTTCCCCCCTTCAGGTCTGTGTAAGAATGCAAAAGAGTTTCCCACAAATAGAAGTTTTCTATTGAGGATGAAATGTACACTGACCAGCAGAGGGCGTACTGTCAATGTCAAATCTGCCTCCTGGAAGGTACCACCCCTTACTTGTGCTTCACTTTTGACCCTGTGACAGCAGGGTTACTCTGAAAGCATCTATACAATGAATCTGGATACATATTTATCCCTATCAGCCTCTCTCTCTGACAGGTGCTGCGGTGTTCGGGCCATATCCACACAGCAGATGGTGTCGTGAAGGAAAAAAATGCGTGTTCAACGTACCTGGTGCTCATCTGTGAGTCTATTCCCCACCCGGCAAACATTGAGGCTCCTCTGGATTCTAGAACATTCCTCAGCCGCCACACTTTAGATATGCGCTTCACCTACTGCGATGAGAGGTAAAGTCTCAGCTCCTTTGAGTGTTGTACAATAACACCTGCCCTGCTCAGCACAAAACCAAATGCTTTTGTGCTGACAGAAGCAACATCTGGCTCTAACATCTGAGCATCAATTATTATAGGGTAGATTTTTGGCCACTTAAGTCATACTTAAAATGACTGAAGTTGAAAATCATTGCATAGATTTTTTAACTTTTTTTATTTCAAATAAATTATTTTAAACTTTTTATTTATCAGGGAATCAGGTAAAAAATGGTTTCCACAAAATATTAAAGGGGTGGTTGATTATGATTTCACTTTTCTAACTTTAGTTAGTGTGTAGTGTGTCTGTTTGAGACATCTCAAACCCTAAAATTGACTTAAACCCCTCCCCCGGGAACATGCAGCCCATGTTGATGTTGTAGCATAGCTGTCAACCCTCCTGTTTTTTTTCCGGGTTTCTCACGTATTTTAGCTCTTTTCCCGCTGTCTTCCCGTTTTAGTATTTTCCTGTAAAATATGTGAGGTGCGCAAGCTCGGACAGATTCAGCTTGAAGCCGTTCATCCTCGGATGCGGCGCCGCGCGCTCTGTTACAAAAAAGTTTATTAAATATATAAATAAATTTGAATAAATATATAAATATAAATAAATATATAAATAAATATAAAACTTTTTTTTGGTTGCTGTCAGACTGTCAGTGTGAAAGCTGTTCGGTTCAATGAGAGCTATAAAGTGTACTGAGTTTTGTACATATACTTGTGCAAGTATGTTCAATATAAGGAGCAAGTGTTCAAAATGCATTCAAAGGCATTAAAATTACTTCACACACTGAAGCACAAGCCCCTTTGGGCCATTGCTCTAATATCAACAAAATAAACAGAAAAAAAAACAGAATCTTATAAAGTATGTCATCTGGGTTTTTTGCCCACTATTTCAGGACTACAGGGTATTGAGACATACTGAGACATTAGTAGGGAAGTATGCAGTTTCTGATGCAGAGAGAGTCTGTTGACTGAAGGTCCAGATTTATGGCCTGGATTCCTTCGCCATCTAGTGGTGACTTGTGAAAGTTGAAGTGTCACTGAGCGCCATGCAACCTACATGTATGTGTGTTTGTGTGTGTTTGCAGGATCACAGAGCTGTTGGGTTTCGATCCAGTGGATCTGTTGCAGCATTCTGTGTATGAATACTATCACGCTCTGGATTCTGGCCACATGACCAAAACACACCATAAGTGTATGGCCACTTAAATGCTGTTCATTTATGCAGATCTAAATTAAGATATATCATAATGCTTTAAATGTCTCTCTCTCGGCAGTGTTTGTAAAGGGACAAGTGTGTACCGGACAGTACCGGCTGCTGGCTAAAGCAGGAGGATTTGTTTGGGCAGAGACTCAGGCCACTGTGATCTATAACAGTAAAAACTCCCAGCCACAGTGTGTGGTCTGCATCAACTACATCCTCAGGTGGGACTTCACACACTAGTCTTGATGTGCATTTAAATGTGTCTGTTTAAATGTGTATCTGGCTGCCTGAATATGTGCATTTAGTACATGCAAAATTGTGTTGAGTGACATTATTTTTTATCTGTTCATTCTTTGCAGTGGCATTGAACAGCCCAAACAAATCCTGTCCCTTCAGCAAACCAACAGCACAAAAATAAAGCAAGAACAGGAAGAACACCAGGAGGAGTTCCTTGGGGCTGATGTGACCATGGCTGAGTTGAAAGAGGAGGGAAAACAGAGGGAGGAAAAGGAAGAGGAGTCTGTGGAAGAGGAGTTAAATGACAGCCTAGAGGGGGAGCCAGAGGCACTGACTGTAGACCCTGTCCTCACACTGGATTTCACTACCACAGGTCTGAAACCTACACTAGCTACAGAATGTTTCCATCCAAAGCTGTAATGTGTAAAATTGGAATATTGCATACAACTTTTATGAATAAAGCATTGTTTCCAGAGGCAGATTCCTGGTGTTTGGGAGTGCAGTTGTGTGAGACAGTTCTAAGAGAAAATTTTACCAAATCATTTTTATGACAGACTTTGGCTCAGGCATTTAAGAATAACCAAACCAACATTTGAGATGCTGTGCAATGAAATTGGTCTTATTATTAGTCCAAAGTTTTTTTGTTGCTTATTGAGGAATTTATCTGGTAAGAGTTTATGCGCAACAATCCAACAATCATATGCTACATTGCTGTTACCTCACAAAACTTAATAAAAAATGAATAAAAATTAACAAAAATTAATAAAGCTGGCTGCATCCATGATGTTGGACTATACATGTCATCCTTATGACATTGTTTTGACTTGTGCTATATAATCCTATTAAGCAGTCCATAAAAAATAACTAAAATGTATATTTATACATTAATTCTATTTATAGTTTGACCATTTATTTATAGAAAGTGTTTTTTTTAAGTCCTCATGTTAATTTCTTGCAGACTCGGCGGTCTCTGTGCTGACAGAAATTCCTCTCTACAACGATGTGATGTTGCCCTGTTCAAGTGTACCGCTACCCCTCTCACCCCTCTCTCATCCCTGTTCCTCCCTAAATGAGGATGATGCCTCCACAGCCAATCTACAACCTGATGACTTCCCCTTCCCACAAACTTTGGCTTCTTCCAGATCCCAGGTGGAGTCTAGTCACCGTTTTACAGTGCCTCTCATACCTTTCACACTTTTAGTCCTTTATGTTTTTTTTCTAGTTTACTCTTCAAGAAAAATATGAATATGTGACATGAATTGGTTGTTTGTTTATGTTCAGGTTGATCTCCATGTGGATTCAGAATTTAGTAACCAGCTAAAACCGGATCACGTGGAGAAACTATTTTCCATGGATATGGAGTCCAAGACACACTTTAATACACAGGTACAGTAGATGTGTTGATTGTGTACTGCATCCACACAGATGTCAATATAAGTCCAAGACGACGGCCATATCAAGCAACACAACATAAAAAAATGTAGTTCACCAATAGTGCAAGCCAGGATTAGGCCTTAGCTCAATCAGGGCATTTAAGTATGTTTTATAAACGTGCCTTAGAAAACAACATTACTGGTGTGCATCTTGAGACAAAACAATGGCACAGACATATTTTCAGATATGCCAGTGCAAGTTGCTTTCAGTAAAAACAGCTCAAACATGCATTTTTGTCCAGGACTAGGTTTAGGCTTTGTCTGGGAAACCAGAGTATGTGTTTTAATGTGCTGATGGTTATGGTTATTATAGGGAGTTGGTTTGGATCTGGAGATGTTAGCTCCATACATTCCCATGGATGATGATTTCCAGCTGCGGACTGTTTCTCCAGCCGAGTCGATGTGTTCCAGCCCAGGTGCAGCGCTTGAACTGACCCCCTCCAGCAGCATGCAAACTGCCCCTGCTCTCCCAGCAGTCCCTACAGACTTGATGTCCTGTGACACCGTTCAGCACGATACTAGAACCACAGAGCAGGACAGCAGCAGGTGAGACATGCTCCTCAGAGAGACATGCTTTTTTGATCAGATCTGCGTTGCAAATAAACTCAATACAGTTTTTCAAGAACAGTCTATTTTTTGTGTCCGTTCTTTCTCTCTTCCTGTCTCCTTCTATAACTCTCTAGAGAAATTATTCAAGACAGGGATATTTCTTCTAAATGTCAGACCAACCCAAAGCTGCTCAAGAGGAAACTTGAAACCATACCTCTGTCTGAAGCAATAAGACTGGTATGTTGAACTTGAGAGCCTTAATGTGTATTATTGCATATTTCTTTGGAATACTTTATTCTGAGTGGTCAAGCACTTCCTGGAATTGTCAAAAATTATTATCAATAATGTTATTAAAATACATTTTTATAATGTGCAGTCAGCTGGGGATTATAGCAATTTTTTTTGCAATAAACATCATTGACTTTCAGACAAATAATAACAGTTCTATTGGTATCTATAATTTATGTATTTTTTCATTCATATAAGAAGAGTTTAAAAGACTGTTGATGTGTGTTTTTCTCCCAGGGGTCTGTGTTGCAGTTGGTGACTGATTTTCCAGAGAAAAAGGCCAGAAAATCAGACGCTTCATCATCCGAAGGGATTCGACATGCCACGATTCTGTTGCTACCATCTGGTATGTCACCATGGAGACAACATGTCAGTGTGAAATCCTTGCGAATGTGATGTTTTTCATGTACTGTATTATTGCTCTTTCTCTATCTGTTTTTTTTTTTTCTCAGATGTTGCGAGTAGATTGTTGAGCAGATCGTCAGAGGGTGGAACAATAACTATGCCCCTCCCCCAGCTTACCCGTTACGACTGTGAGGTAAATGTGCCTGTGACTGGACGGCAGCACTTGTTACAGGGGGAGGAGCTAATGTGTGCCTTAGACCTAGTTATTTAAAAAGCCATACTTGTGTTTTCGGATGAAAAGGGAGATATCAGTGGCATTATGAATTGACTTCCATTACAAAGAAACAGTGGTGGTGAGTAGGGCTATCACGATGTTAGATTTTTCACACCACGGTTATTGTGGCCAAAAGAATTCACAATATCGATAAATCGCAATATCTATAGAATCTATAAGGGTGGGGGGGCAAACTGAAGCGAAACACTGTCTGAATGGTTCCTGAACAACTAAAAAGCTATTAAACCTATTGGGCACCGGCGCCAATAAAGTCATGCAGATAGCAGATAAAATAAAAATAAAAATCAAGTGCAAATACAAATACAAAAAAATGAGTAAAGAAAACAGGGTTCTTAATAATCACCCTTTATTAAATGTGTGAACACAGAAACCCCCTGTTGACAGGTTAATGTCACGTTTCCAATTCCATGACTAGTAAAATAATCGCAATTTATTCTCTGTAAAATTGCGTGGACACGGAGACATTACACATTGCGTCACGTGTAGGACAACTCGAAGTATCGCACACCGGACAAGATGGTCCTCACCGCAGAACACAAAATTCATATACCTAAACCTACCCATCTCCGTCCCCTGATCCCTAACCCCACACCTAATCCTACCCATCTCCACCACTTAGATCTGGATCCAACTCCGCCCCCTGGATCTCATGTACTGCAATGACGTGGACGCGCACTTTCTCAGTTTATGCCCAGCAGTATGTCTGTAATGTCTGTACTATATTATGATTGTACTATACAATTAAATACAATAGTTGCTGAGTGTGTGACCTGAACACTTTACCTCAGAGCATCCATTAACTGATTAAATTGAGAATATCACCTGAAAATCCGATAACATCGTCAGTTTTAATTCAAGCAGCAGATTCGTGTAAATTAATGTAAAACTAAATGTATTTTGCAGCACAGGGTGAAGTCATTTACGATGATTTGAGACAAATATAATGTAAATTTTATATAAAACTATGTAAATGGTGCTCTGTGTCGCGGCAGGATTTTAAACAAGGTCCAGAGCCGTTGCTGGGCGGACAGAGAGAAAATGTGTTCGAATTTTAAAGACGTGGAACTGCTCTTCTTGTCTGGTGTGCGACCCTCTTTAAAGTGCTGTTTTCTTTTGAGCCGAAGAACTCCCATTCAGACGAGCTTACTTTTTTCGGGTGTGGACAGAGTGTTTCACTCTCTCGCTCAGACGACATTCTTCTCAGAGTAGCTGCGCGACCTGGGGTGCATCTTCTTTGATAGGTGTCAGCCGCAGCGGGCCATACAGCCACCTGAGAGGTCAACCAGGTACTCATGCTGGAGTATTACGTGTCATGTTATCATAACACTCCTTTTCATTTGAAACATTGTGGTTTTCGTCAATACCGGTATATTGCCACACTCTAAATTAACACAATGTTGATATTTCATGCTTTGAATATCACGATTATCCTCAGTACCGTTATAATGCGACACTCCTAGCGTTGAGCAGTCAAAACAGATGGGATGTATCTGCTTCTAATGAGTAGATGGTACATGCTGGACATAAAAAAGGAAAAGTCTAATTAATGTTAATTAATGACAAGGGAAATGTAAAACTGAATTAAAAGAGTGATTTTGAATTGTACTCTTACAGGTTAGAAATACGCACAGAGAAGAGAATATATATTCTATTCTATATAAGATTGTATTGTGTTAAAAAACAACAGTTTTTTCTCGCACAAATTACAAAAATTTACCTGCAGCTTTCAGAAAATATTATTTTATCAGTACTGCTGTTTTTATAAATATGTCTAAGGTATGTCTAAATGTATTTGTTCAGGTCCCCACATGTCCCATTTATGTGTGTGTAAATGGTGTGAAATGTCTAAAGTGGCTGTTGTTTTAAATTTGTGAAACATATTATACAACAATTGAGAGTAGTCAGCATATTGATAGAGTGACCCACATTACTACCTACATTACTGAATGTTGAAACTATTACTCTCTATTCCTATTATTGCTAGAGATTTCTATTTAGTTTAATCTCTGGATATATCTAGGGCATTAACAAGTTAAAATGCTCTCTTGTGTTCCCTATACTATAAGTTTCCTGTGTTACATTAACAGTGGCGTATACAGTGTGTGAGAGCTTTGCCACTGTGCTAAGCTGCGTTTCTCGTGTTCTTTCCTGTCATGTCACATCGTCTTGAGGAAACTGTTATGTCTGTGACAAATAAAAAAAGAAGTTTTTCAACAACATTTAGCCTACAGACATCAATGTGTGTTTTTCTTTTTAAAGATACAACTGTTGAGAAGTCTCTTTTGATGATTTTTCTTTTAATTTATTTGAGGTATTTTTCCATTCTCTACACCACTAAACCTAACCCTACTGTATATAAACAGTACATTTACAAATGAGTCAAGAGTGTGTGTACAAATGTGTGTTCGTCAAACACAACACAGAACAAGAACTGTTTTCAATTACTAATGGCCTTGCCAAAGGACTTACTTCATCGCTCAGGACGCTGCATGAGCTCTTTATGTGCCATGCGAGACACACAAAACCTCAGAAGGTCCCCTCCACATTTCTGTGGGAAAACACTTACTCATGGCGAATGCCTTTATTCTTGGTAACTTTATACACACCATTTTGTATCTGTGTCTGTCATCCAGGTTGAGTGAATGGCCCTCATTGAATTAGTGGGAAAATCCCATGATTCTGGCTTTTGTTGCTATGGAGAGGGCTCTGTTCTAAGTCTCTATGGACCGTTGCACTTCAATGAAACACAGACCAGTTTTATGAAGGCAAGAAAAGGACTTTTTTTTAAAATTGAAGGTTTTGTTCTCATTAACATGTCCAGTGAGGCTGATTGTTTACAAGAATGACCAGGTTTACTCAGTAAGATTGTTTTGACGGGTGGATGTTATGAACTGATCATTTAAAACATTTTTAAGAGTGCTGCTATAACAGTCCAGTTCTGCTGGAACAGCTAGTTCATGTTTAATCGGACTTGGAGCTAAACTCTGCAGGACAGTGGCCCTCCAGGAACAGGATTAGACACTGCTATCTATGCCATTTTGTAGTATAAATAGTGCAATTATTGTCTGCGGACTGAAAATTCAACTAAAATGCGAATGCCGCGTCCGAATTTGTAGTAGTAGTATAGTAGTAACGTGAGTTAAATAGTATGTCCGAATTCATAGTTTTTTTTTAAACAGTATAAGTGAAAAGTACCTGATGAACAAATACTTCCGGCCAAATTCAGAAGTGTGCATTTTGATGGACCCTTTACTATCCCATGAGGCCACGGGAGAGGATTTGTGAATAGAAGTGAAGCACCACAACTGATGCTGTAGGTCACATGCAATGAGAACGGTACTGTTTCGAACCAAATGTTGAACCTCTGTCCCAGGGGTGTCTAATCCTGCTCCTGGAGGGCCACTGTCCTGCAGAACTACTCCAATTAAAGACACCCGAACCAGTACAGTATGTGCTTTCGGACGCAGAAGAAGTGTGGAATGTTGAACCCTTCATGCTCTTAACTGTCACAGCTTTAATTACGTAGCTGAATACAATCAGACTCTTGCTGGATGATAAAATAAACTATAAGTGCATAGTGTATAGTGTGTCATTTGTGGGGAACTTGGGCTGCGTCCGAAATTACATACTCTCTTGGTACTTATTTTGAACAATTACTCTAAAAAAAAATATGTTCTCTATTATGAATGTGTGTAGTAGTAGAATGTAATCTGGACGTACTACATTCGCCATGTTGTCATTATCATGTGACCTACCTGCTTTATCGCTAATCATAAATCCTTTCCAGTGGCCCCATGGGATAGTAAAGTGTTGAAGTAGAAGAAGTAGGTCATCCAGGTAGGCTACTTTTGCCTATTATTTTATGTGTACTGTAAATACACTCTAAACAATGCTGGGTTGTTTGAACCCAAATTTGGGTAAAATATGGACTAACCCAAATGTTGGGTAAAAAATGTAATTTCAACTTTCACTTTCAACTGTAAATTTTTGAATTGCATTTTTAACCTAACATTTGGGTTTGGTCCATATTTGACCCAAATTTGGGTTCAAACAACCCAGTATTTTTTTAGAGTGTATACAAAAGTGTATTGGGGGATTGTTTTGAAAAGAAAATATTATTAATCAACCTTACCATTACATAGTGTTTTAAATAGATCGGTGGCCCATGGACAGTTTCAGAGTTTCAAACTCTCATTCTGAAACTGTTTCGGTCAGTGCTACAACACATGTCTGTGAGAGGGGAAGAATAAAAGCAAATGCACACGATCTCACAAATGTGTTTCACAAACATGGTATATATGATCAAATGCTAAGATGTCTACCTCTTCCACAGCTTTAATTGAGCTCCAGGGGACAGCCAGCATGTTTTCACTTACGTCGGTTAAACTTACTTACCCCCCACCCCCCCCCCCACACACACACCCACAAACTATTTGTCCTCAGAGGACCTGCCATAAAATCCTGTAAATGTTATAAAAACATTTAAAAGCTTTAATGACTTCTATGGACACATGCCAGCTGAAACAAAACCCCCTCATATATCTGCCAGGCCTCACACAAACAGTGAAGCCATGATTTGTAATAAATCAGATCTCTATTTCTACATCATTTGAATCTTATCACTTCTTCCAACAAGGAACATTTTATTGCTCAGAGGAAACATAATTAAATTTTCTCAAAACCACTCAGTAAACTTGTTTGACTCAAATGTTACTCTTATAAGACATAGGCCTAATAATGTCACAAATGTAACAACTGTCGACATTTAAAAGTATGGGTTATGCCGTAATATATTGAAATATTTGATTGTATAGTTTGGGACATTGTTAAGATGTGGAATGTATTTGGGGGATTATTGTGGTCTTATGTCAGAGAAAATGTTTTATTGCAGTATTCCTCCATGTCACCAGGGGGCGTAGTGTTGCAATCAGAGCTACTCAAAGAAAGAAAAAGCATGTTTTAACCATAGACTGCAAAAAAGTTTTACCCGAAACATTTTAAAAGTTACTGCAAATCACCTTTCAATACAAGGGCTCATAACTGCACAATCTAATGCTTTATGGGTGCGTGAGAAAAACTGGAAACAATTATATTGCATTCACAACCCTTATGAAACAGAATGATGTCCTTCCTTCTGGAGAAAGTAAGTCTGGTGGTTAAGGAGAGGAAGTGTGTGTATTTAGATGCTCTGAATGGCAAACTTATGTTAGCAGCAGTGTTGTGCAAGTTACTTCCAAACTGTAATACATTAGGTATTACTTGTTACTGTTATTTAAAAGTAATTCATTACCTTACAATATTACTGTCCCAGAATTGTAATGCGTTAAATTACTCTTGTATTACTTTTGAGTTACTTTCACCAAAATAACTAAGTAGAACTTAACTTTTGGGCTGTAACGATATGCAATATGAAACCGAAATCGCGATTCGCCACACGACTCAGATCCACGAACCTACAGAATCGCGACACAGCGTTATTCTCCTTGCCGTCCAGATCCAATGCTGCCTTATCCTTAAATTAGGCTATTAGTATTATTTGAAGTTAACATTATAAAATACGTAGACCTACACCACAAAACTAGTTGAGGATAAATTATTTAAAATTGGGGAAGTCCAGCATTATGGACATGATGACATTTGCAGTCAAAACTTGAAATAAAAATTTTCAGAAAATACATGTATTGAAACGTATATAGGCTACTTCCTTAAAGGACTCCAGACATTAGACAAATATCAGTCTATGTTTTATTTTTAATATTAGGGAAAAGACACACATTCATGCGTGACAAAAAAATAGGAGGCAAAATATATTTTTTGTAATTCTGTTAATTACACTGCGCAAATCGGATGAGGAAGGGTTGGCTCTTCAGTCTCCATAGAACTTAAAATATTCATTTTATTTTATTTTTCGTGTTCGCATTTATGAGGAAAAAACAATGTTACAGACGCGACCGCTCTGAACTGGCACTAAAAGACTGCTTTAAAACTTTCACATAGTCTGTTGCCTTTAAGAAGTAAAAGCAGACAATTCACTGTAATACAACTGTAATACAAGCCTCACTGAACATGTAACGAGTAAAATATTACTGAAAATTGATTAGTAATGCCTTACACTACTGCGTTACAGCAAAAAGTAATATGTTACTGTAATGTATTACTTTTGTAATGCGTTACTCTCAACACTGGTTAGCAGATGAGGCATTTAAATGTTCTTTTTCCCCCACAGACTGATGTGGTGTGATTTATCATATGCACATAATAAATAACTGAATATAATGATCTGTTTCTTACTGGATGTTTTACTCTTCCTTTTAACAGCAATACAAGAGATGAAAGAGCAGCTGACAGAAGTCAGGTAAATAATTCAAAACTCATCTGGTATTTTTAACTGAGAATTGAGATGTGTTTTAGTGCTGAAAGATAGGAGACATTTATTCATCCACATAATTAATCATTCAAGAATACACTACTGAATTATTTTTGTACTGTTTTATTATGCTTTAAATTCATTGCAACTCCTAAAACCACTTAATACAATGGAAGGCAAACTACATGCAGAATAAAGACCTTCAATTAATCCAGTTATTTATTTATACATTGTATTATTCTGATATTAATAATTATTAAGTACAAATTGAGTACCAAAGAATAGAATCTACTACATTTTTTTTCTGTCAGAAAACAGATGAAATATAAAAACATGCAAATGTAAATCTATTAAAAATTAGCTTGTCACAAATAAAAAAAGAAGCACAAAATAAAAGATAGACATTGTATATACTGTACTGAATCGAGAGGCAATGCCATTGTATGGCATTACTTGAAGGCTAATATTTTCAACTAGTCATAAATATACAGTATGTGATTATGTGGATATAATGGATACTTAAATCAAGGCTGTCATAGCTCCTATTGCAGTGTTGGAGGAAACATTGAGACCCCCTCATTATCATGTAGCAATACATACTCAGTGTCACTGGGGAAATTTTGAGGTGAAAAGATTTTGATTATTTCTTTGTCTGCATGTATGACAAATCTACATCTATGCATTAGAGAATTGTTTGTGGTAAGGTATTGCTTTATGAGATAGTCTAGACATGCTATCAAACCGTGACATGTGGGCTTCTCTTTCAGCAGCCAGACTTTTTTGTTCATAAAACCCTCAGCAGTGAGGCTCTCAAGCTTTAAATGACACTTCGTTTCCACAGTTGTGCCTGGATTGCCAGATTGTGAGGTGTAGGTGACGGAGAACCTGTTGCATTTAATGTGTAGTCTTGACAGACCCTCATTAACAGCTTCTTGAGCCTGTGTAAAACAGGATCTAAACTCATCTTGGCAAGAGTGGTTAAAAAAGTGATTGGCTTCAATGCAATTCTTTGTGACGTATTTGGCACTTATGTCGTGGATATAGACATCGACACAGGCTTAGTCGTTTTCTGAAGTTACAATAAAAATCCTCCGTTTATTGTGACCAATTTGTACACAAGAGTAGTTTCCTTTAACCAACAATTTTGAGTAACTTTTTAGAGGGTGGTCTCGAAGGAATCTCTCAGCAAAGTCCAAGTTGGAGAGAAGGGTGTTGTCTGACAAGTTCTTTTGCTTAAGATCATGCATCACAGACAATATGCCTTCCGTGTCAGGGTTAAAACTGGGGTAAATGGGGTATCTTGGGGAAAAAGGGAAAGAATAATAATTGTTATATAGGCATACACATTTATATGCATTAATGTTTAACTTCCTCTTGCAGACCATCATGAATTTTCAGAGTGTAGGCCTACTTACTATGGAGTGTCCATTAAGAAGGTGGAGAGATTTCAAGCAGACCAAACCATTCACTGGGAGGATCCGCACTGTCATAATATAATAGAGCAGCCATTTATGAGAAGCAATGCACAGTCATTATCCCAAAATAATCAGAAGTGGAGGATCTTTTAGAACCCTTGAGTGATCATATAAATCAACCAAGTTCATTTGAATGTTTTATCTAAATCTCCCCTCTCATTTTAGATTATGATCAAAATTTAGTTTAGTCTCAGTGAGAGGTGTGCAAAAAGTTTACAGAGGTCCATTTCAAAACTGCTGTAGGCACCTTTCAGTTTAGAAAGAAGTAATCATATCTTGATAAGTTCCTTTTTAATCCAGATGTTTTTGTGTGGTTAGAAGAATGATATTTGTAGTTTGACTGGGATATCATTTTCATCATGTCTAGCTCATCAAATCCTTTATAAAAATACTTAAAAAAAAAAAAAAAAACGTTTACGAAACGTTTTGTATTTTTTTTTAAAAACTTCCAGAAAATAAAACTGCACAGACTTACCGTCCAAGATCTTTGTCGTTTGTCCAGTGGTCAAGCTAGGGGGAAAAAAACGTTCTTTTAAATGTTAAAATGATTTCAGCAAATATTGTCCTCCAGCAGTTCGTTGATGTTTATCTCTCTGGCTCTTGCAGCACGACTGGAAATTGCACGGTAGGCTACTTTCAGTTTCTCAAAGCGCTTTCTGGTTAAGTTTCTTTTTCGAATCAACGGAAAGGTAACTACGGAGTCCCTAAAGGATCATGATTGTGGAAAAAAAAAAAAAAAAGAATAAATAAATACTTTGCCTTCCCTCACAAAACCTTTTGCAAACTATAGGCATCATTCACTAAACGAGAAAGGATCACATCACACATCAGACTTAGTGTCTCTTAAATCACCATATAGTAATATATGCACCTTTAAAGGGCATCCCCATCCCCCAATATTATTAAATGTAGGCTATGCTTCATCTTTCATTTTAAATTCCCAAATTTGATCAATAAATTCAATTATTTCGAATAAGACACCATAGACACTGTTACCCTGGGGGCTGATCAAATTAAATCATTTACATTTTTTGAAAAATTACTATTGCATAAAATAATGTTATGAAATTGATTTAAAGTTACATAGAAGAAACATTGGAAAGAATGATACTACTTTTAAACATAACACTAAAGCACCAGTAGGTGGTGGCAGGCGACCGACTAATGAGTCATTGAATCATTCATTTAAAAGATTCGTTCAAACGGCTGATTCATTCAAGAATGAAACAGATGTTTTTGAATGGCTCATTGAATCTTTGACTCGATTCGTTCAAAATGGCGAATAATTTAGTAATGAAAGCAGGTTGAGTGTTCCTGTGACATGCACCGTGGTTCTGCTGTGATTTTTGTTTGGAACTTTTTTTGCTGCTGAAACAGAAAGCCAATGCATCTAAAATGTAAGTGATTTAATTTGAACTGTTTACGAACTCTTGTAGGAAAGCAATGCCACATTTTCAATCGTGGTGTTCAGGAAAAATAATTGAGGTTGCTTAACATATGTTAAAAATATAAAAACTCCACATTTAGATTTTTATAGGCAGTAGGCCTATGTTGTTACCTGAGTGTGTGTACGCGCTGCGCTCATTTGTGTAGATTTCTGCTACGCAAGCGTCAACACTGCAAGCAGGCTACCATAAAAGTCAAAGTGTTCTTTTTGTGGCGCACCTGACGAGACTGCTCTCCATATATTCTGGGACTGTCCTCATACACAGTTATTTTGGGTTGAATTTTCTAATTTCATTAAACACAATGTGCTTCCGGGTTTTTCCTTGCTCTTTAAGGATGTACTGTTTGGCTTCTTTAATATAGAAAAAGCTAAATTTAATGAGTATTAAATTATTAATTTGTTGTTATTCCTTGCAAAATTTCACATTCACCGTAGTAAATTTATGCAGCAGAATCCCTTATTCATTGTTTTTAGTAGAGAGGTTCAGCAATACATCCAAAGTATCTCATCATCCAAGAATCTTAAAGCTCTTAAGACCATAAACTTGTTTGAACTTTTTAATTTAATTTATTAATGCATTCTGTTCTGGCATCACTGTTGTTGGTTTTATCACTTGTGGTATTGCGGTCATTTGCTCCATTAATGTTAAATCTTGTCTAAAAATCATGATATTGTACATATCATTCGTAAAAGCAAAAAGCAATGGAATTATATGTATGTTCTGATTGGCTGATATTGTGTCGCGTCATGCCTTTCGATTTTAGAAATCACATCATTTGTAAATATTTTACATTTTGGAGAATTGGTATTTGTGCAACCTCATTTGTATATTATTGTTCGACCTGCTTAGTGGCGATTAGATTTTGGGTTGGGGTTACGTTTTTTTCTAATAAAATCAAACATTACTCACCAAGTCATGTTTATTTCCTTCCAGTGTTTCTGATGAGATATTTTAAAGCAATAAGCAGAATGAATGAAACAACTGGACAGTAGAAAAGAAAAGAAAATACGAAGATAATCAGTGATGAGGGGAAAAGGGACATGATCGTGAAAGCTGCTGTTGAATGCCTTTTGATCTAAAACCTCTGCCTGACAAGGGGCAGTTGCCATGGCAACGCTGAACTGCCAAAGATATATGTTGATGGATGACAGTTGAGCCAGTAGCATTAGACAGACTCTACGCCTGGAAGAACAGAAGGAGAGAGAGAGAAGGGAGAGAGAGAGACAGAGAGAGAGAGAGAGTAGAGGCATCATGCTCCTCTGCTCCTCTATTAGTGTTGACAATGACATGATGCTTGTCATACTGTGCATCACAACACACCCACACACAGTTCCTCTCTCTCAAACTGCCATGGTGCCCCAGGGAAGGTGAGGTGAATGCTGAGGCCGGATGCCATGGTTAAAATAAGACTCGTGTGACATTTGAGTGCATTCAGCAAGTGTGAACCTTTTTTGTTTACGTCTTGTTAGTTTAACAGTGTGTAAATTCTGCAAACAACATTCTTCCCAATGAAAAATGCCTCTCCCTGTCTGATAGCTCCCGAATCCTGTATCATTAGTCAGACCGGGAACACTTTCCTCAAATAAAGCAAAACCGCAGCCAGACCTGTCATTGCAGAGATATGAAAAAAGGAGATTGGTGGTGGGGGGTGGTTTGAGCGAAAAAATGATTGAACTGCAACAATATGTTAGGAAGGAAGTGTTCAGGAGAGACTGAGAAAGACAAAACATTTTGTAATGAGAAAAAGAGCATGTTTATATTTAAATCTTAATCCACTTTGTATACTTTTCACATTTTTAATTCTGAAAGAGAGCTAATTGGTCTCCAAAACAATTGATTCTGTGTTTATAGGCCTTAGTCATTGGGAATTGAGTCTCCTTCAAAGCTTGGAGTCGATTTCATTAAGAGGATTGTTGAGATCTTCCTCCGAGTCCAGACTTTTGTGACGTGATGCTGCTTTGACTGTCGGTCGGGTAGAAGTCTGCTGCAGAGCTCAGCGGGTTGCACGTCGGTGGCTCATAAAAGTGCACGTCGTGTGCTAATATCGGCCATAAACTCGTGACTTGACTTTTTATAACCGATACTGATTTTCTGCATGTTAATGTGCCCGATAACCAATATACAGAATTAGTTATAGTTACCAATATACAGAACTAACCCCAATTAGTTTTTACAGAACAGCTCTGAACTGACCGAAACATTATCTAATTTCTATAATTTCATTTCACATCAATATGTAAATGGATCTGAAAAGACTTTTAAAAAAACTTAAAATAAAGTGCACTAAAGTGTCTCTTTTAAATATATTTATATATTCACCTAGAGTAATATTAGGAACACCATACTAATACTGTGTTTGACCCCCTTCACCATTCAGAACTGCCTTCTATGTACCATTGATTCAGCAAGGTGCTGAAAGCATTCTTTAGAAATGTTGGCAATGCTCAGGTACTGTAGGCCGTGGCATTTAAACGATGCCCAATTGGCACTAAGGGTCCTAAAGTGTGCCAAGAAACATCCCCCACACCATTACACCACCACCACCAGCCTGCACAGTGGTAACAAGGCATGATGGATCCATGTTCTCATTCTGTTTACGCCAATTTCTGACTCTACCATCTGAATTTCTCAACAGAAATCGAGACTCATCAGACAAGGCAACATTTTTTCAGTCTTCAACTGTCCAATTTTGGTGAGCTCTTTTTTTTCTACAAATAGGAAAAAAATTTGCCTCTTTTTCCTATTTGTATTGGAGATGAGTGGTACCCGGGGTCTTCTGCTGTTGTAGCCCATCCGCCTCAAGGTTGTGCGTGTTGTGGCTTCACTAATGCTTTGCTGCGTACCTTGGTTGTAACAAGTGGTTATTTCCACTACTTCTATTAGCTTGAATCAGTCGGCCCATTCTCCTCTGACCTCTAGCATCAACAAGGCATTTTCACCCACAGGACTGCCACATACTGGATGTTTTTCCCTTTTCACACCATTCTTTGTAAACCCTAGAAATGGTTGTGCGTGAAAATCCCAGTAACTGAGCAGATTGTGAAATACTCAGACCAGCTCGTCTGGCACCATCAACCGTGTCACGCTCAAAATTGCTTAAATCACCTTTCTTTCCCATTCTGACATTCAGTTTGGAGTTCAGGAGATTGTCTTGACCAGGACCACACCCCTAAATGCATTGAAGCAACTGCATTTATTGAGGTGTTCCTAATAATCCTTTAGGTGACTCTATATGTATTTTCTCTCGTTTTACACCCCAAATCCTCACGTCTCCTCCCAGGTTTGTTTTCACACATATGCTTTAAAATGTAATTGTGTAATTTTAACAAACTATGCTGGCCATTAAATGGCTTTCCAAGTGATGTAACTAAAACACAGAAACACTGTTGAAAAACACTGTTGAAACACTGATTGATTACATGAAACGATACATTTCAGGAAGTTATTACACTCTCTGATGTTCATTCATGTTTATTATGTGTGCTAAAACTATAGTAAAAGGGAAGAGATGATCAGTTCACGTGCCAGTTGAATTAAGGCACATGAAAGAGCGCCAAAACGGTATTTAGTGTGTGAATTAAACTGACAGAAGAGAGCACAAGAACAGTGTCAATTGAGTCTTACACTGAAATGCTGATATTTATTATCTGTCACAACATGTCTGTGGAAATAATTAGGCATTATTCTGTGGTAGTAATTTGTTAATGCTTTTACTCTTTTAAATGTCCTTTGAAATTTTGGAGGTTACTCCTGTAATCCGGCCAAAGTGTCATGGGGTGTAGGAAAATGTTGGATATTCCAGAAGATTCGAGGAAAACTAAAGCTGATTTATGTATCGATGACTACTGATTTCTACTGATAGACAAACAAATTGGCTTATTAAAACCTAAACAGTTTGCATACTCGTCACGGCTGTACTCCTCCAAGCAATGCTTATGCTACAAGAACCTCATAAATATGCATATAAGAACGTTTACAAACGTTTAGTGTAATGTTGAAACCTGACGACTCAGGATTGAAATAACTTCAAATGACATTTGCTTCTGTAAGTTTAGAAGCTGAAAAGCCCATGACAACTACACTGAACGACAAAATCCAGAGGTGGTCTCAAATAATTCCATCATTGTCTGCTACTTTAACAGAAGCAGTGTGCTCCATTTAAAAGCGTCTCATCTCAGGGTGTGTTCATAATAATCACTGAGTGTATGTTTGACCGTGGTGTGTGTGTGTGTGTTTGCCATGAACCTTTTTTCGCCACAGCTGGGGATCCCAGACTGCTCTTTCAGTAAACATTGTTTCCATAGTGATAATTGAGAAGAGAGGAAGGAAGTGAAGAGGTGACAGCAAGAGTAATAAGAGAGAGAACGAGGGAGAGAAAATGTGTGTGCGTGAATCCAAAGAAATAAGCTGTGTGCCAGATATAATCACATCACAATGAGATAAAGGGAACATTGTGGGCTCAGGATCATTCCTTTATTCTTAACACATTTCACAAAAACACACACACTCAAACCCGAACGATGTTTAAGATTTCATTTCATTTCCTACCAGCATGGTTGCCAGTATAAATTCTGCTCTTGTCTGAGGGTCTCCCATTTTGTGTTTTTAGAAATAAAAAAAATAAATGTAGAACGCATAAAGAACAAATATAAAAAAAAGTGCATGAAGATAAAAACTTGGAGATTCTCTCATTCGTACCAAGAATCACTGGACTAAGTGGACCTCAAGACAACAGATAAACATGGACACTGCTATCTGTACTGGAATCCGTGATATTGTCACAGATTCCTGTATACGTTTTGTTTCCTGAATATGTAAATGTCTGAAATGTTAAGGGCGCTAAAAGGGAATATGATTGTTCTAAAAATGTTGGCCACCTTCAAGGCCTCATGCACTCTGGCTAAAATCCACTGCATGTAAACGTGATGATAATCATGGAAAGCAACCCATGTCATGCATTTCTCAAGTGCCTATGATATCAACAAAATTAAATTTCGAACATTTTATTATTATTGTTGTCTTTTTTTCCACTTCACATGGTGCCTGTCTCTGTGGTTCAGTCACGAATATCCACAAACTCCACAAACACAGTAAACAGATTAAACAAGAGCATTTAAGGCACAGTATGGTAGTTTTCACAAGAGACAGAGCAATATGTGAATGCTGTCCCTTTTGTGGTGCGTAATCCAGAAGTACAAAAAGCACAATGCAATTCAAAGTCATTGACCATTGATATTCTGGTTTGTTAAATTGATCTACGAGACTGCTGGAAACCAGTTTCTTCTTTCGTTTCCACAGCAAGTGTTCATTTGTTATTTTCCCCTGGCGTGAGCCCTAGCGAGGGCCCCATGGTGTCCAGCACCTATAGTGTCTGAAAGCCACCGCTGTGAAACCTCCCCTCCTCTAACCCTCTCTTTCCCTTTTTGTGTGTCTTTTTCCAGGCTCTTGTCATCCCTGTGGCTCTGTGGCCGGAGACCATCGCTCGTCCTGTTCTGATCTCTGGTGTCTTGAGCCACCATTGGACTCACAGAGCCCTCTTCTTCATCACTGTCCTCCTCCTCCTCCTCCTCACGCAGCTGTGGAAATCGAACTGATGATGATGATGAAGATGATGATGAAGGGCGAGAGTTGGAGTATACGTCCCGTTCGTACACAGACAGAGGGAGCTGGAGGTAACGTCCGGCTGCGTATAAACAGCAGCAGGCTGGGACGCACTCCTGTCCTTCCCTCCTCATCAGACGCAGGCGTTTACGATGCGACCCGGGCGGCGTCATGCAGGGCTGCAGGGCAGGAGAGGGGAGTGGTGTATTCTGAGTGGCTGGGGTTTGGAGGGGACAAGGCATGGTTGTCTGACCTGATGGGAAACACCAGTCGCTCTGGAGGAGGATTTCGTTTCTGAGACGCCGGAGAAGGTTGTTGATGAGCACAGACCGCCGCAAGAAGGACTCGGGGTCATCCATGAAACGCAGCTTTTCCAGAGAGAGACGGAGAATGTTAGCACGCTCCTCCAGGACTGGGGAAACCTGCTGGCCCAGAAGACACTATACGTGAGGTAAGGTCAGTTATCAAGTTAACCTTTATGATTCATTACGTGTTGTTGGGATCAAATCTAAAGGTTAAATGTTTTGCTTGCTGATCATTGTGCAGTGTCATAAAGTGATATACAGTAAATTGGGGAAACAAAAGCTATTATGAAACTAGCAGTGCAAAAATATGACTGTTCTATAAAATGTGACTAAAAACGAAAACTGAATTGAACAAAAAACCTGAAAATCTGCGTAAAAGTGCACTATGAGCTGAAACTAATTTAAAATGACTGAGAAAATGTATTTAGTGTTTGTATTTTTATCTGAGTTGATCCAAATAATGTCAAAATAAGGGCATGTTCACACTTGTAGTTCAGTTCTCTTGTTTTTTTTTTGGTCCAGACCAAAAAAGAAAATTATACATTTAGTCCTGGTTCTCATTGTGATTTTTAAAGGGGACCTATTTTGCAAAATTCACTTTTACATGGTGTTTGAACATAAATGGAAAAATCCCTATAAATCATAAGTCTCAAAATAAGACGTTTGCAGTTTATGCAATGTGACGCCCATGACAACTGACGGACTCTGCCCTATTTGCATAGACCCCACCCTGAGTGGCCATATATAATATATACATACAATTTCTCTACTGGCTGTTTACATTCGCAGACATAACCGACTGTTTATTTGAATTTTGTCTGTTTTTGACATAACTTTGTGTGTCTTTGACAGTCTAAGCGCAATACGACCTGGAAGAGAACTTAGTTTACTCACGGGACGTGCCGTCTTACATCCAGCTTTCTTTGCGCGTGTTTCGGATGTGTGCGATCAGAAAACCATCTATCAAAAGGTTATACTGATATAGAAATAGAGCAAAGTGTCCAAAGCATGAGCTGTAAAGGCCCTCTTCTGGAAAGTGGGGTGGGGGGCAGCAGCTCATTTGCATTTAAAGGTATATGAAAACAGCATGTTTTTCCTTCCACTCAAAAATTAGCATTTGCAACATGGAATAATAAATGATCTGTGGGGTATTTTGAGCTGAAACATCACAAACACATTCTGGGGACACTGAGACTTATCTTACATCTTGTAAAACGGGGCATAGTAGGTCCCCTTTAAGACAGAACCGAAAGATACAAAACAAAACGGCTTTTATGAGACATATTTTGCGTAAATGTGATGGTATTTTTTACGAGCTGATAACTGGGTTAAGAGCTTATAAAATCTGTAAAGGAGTCAAAACAGTGCCAGGAATTCCTGTATTGCACACAAATGAATATTTGCTACAAGGAGACTGTGTTTCTGATGCTTGTTGCGTAATGCCTGAGTATTCTGTCTTTTTAGGGTTGCATCTTGTGACATCACATCCTGTTTTTGGTTTGTTAAGATCTCTTTTGTCCATGTTGCATTCATATTTCAAGAGTTTGTTTGGAAGCAGAGACCCACCTTTTCAGGAGTCTCGGTTTGCTTGTTTTGTGCGCAAGATTTGTACGGCATAGTTCCCATTTATTCGAATGAACCGCACTGACAGAGCAATGGCACCAGAGTTTTTAATCAAAAAGTGTGAACACACCCTAAATGTTAAAGTAAAACATATTTTTTATTGCTCAGTGAATTTTTGCAGGCAAAATCCAGTAGGAATCCACACAAAATTAATTTCAAGCCAGGGTGAAAGATTTCCATGAGCAGATTTTGAAATGGGTTGAAGTATGGTCATGCAAATTCTCTGCGTTAACCTAAAGGAAGGTGCTTGGTTTGAAAGTGACTTCTGTGTGAGTTGTGCTTCATAATATATAACTACACTATTGACTACAGACAATGGATCGCATTTAACTAATGTGAACACACCCTTACAATATATAAAAACTTGGTCCAAGTGTCCAAACTTCATATAATTTTATGAATTACCAAAGTGAAAAAAACAAAAAAACATGATGTGTTTTGTAGAAATATGCAGAATTATGTAGAGCAAGAATTCTTTAGACTCACAGTGTGACAGTAACTCCTAAAGCTCAGTACAGGTTCTTCATCGTCCACAAACTTCCTCTTGAAATAGGAGATCCGTGACATGGCCACACGATTCATCACATGATCAGGAACTCGTCTGTAATGGGGCTCTGGAGACAAAATGGGAAGGCTCATTAATAGGCCACGTCTCATTAATAGAATCAAAGACTGGAATTAAGAGAATTTCTGGCCTGTTTTTGTGTCAAAGCTAAAGAGAACATCATGAGCACCTTCTGATCATGGTAGTTTGATTTTCAGAAATAAGATTAGTTTCAAACCTTCTCTGAGCCCTTGGGTGTCACCCCCTGGTGGTGAGGGGGTAGAGACACAGCTTTTACTGCAGTGTTCAGATTCCCAGATCGGTTGGTAGATTGACGGCGGTGCTTCAGCCTCGGGTTCACAAAATGGGTTCTTTGATAAGACCAAAGCCATGGTTTCACCTCAGTTCTAAACAACAAACACACAAATATAATTCTAAAAAAACATCATGTAATGATGGTTAAATGGAAATGTCTCTCACAATCCAAAAATGCTGTCATCATTTGCTCTCATTCATGTCATTCCAAACCCGAATTACTATCAGTGTAGTCCAATGTTGTTTTGGACCCTATTGATATTCACTGTATAGACAAAAACTGTTGAAATATTGTTATTTCTCTTTAAACCAGAGGTCCACTTCTTAGTAAAGTATAATGCTAGTAAAGTTTTATTTTCTGCAAAAAAACAAAAAAAACAACAACAACAAAAACTTTAGTTTAAAAATTTTTTTTTTAAACCGTCCAATCCTTCAAAAACAGCCTCTTTGCAAAGCTTGTATTACATTTACTGTATGTCAGCTTTAAAAAAACAAAACAATCTGTGCTGAAATGTGGCACTCATACTGTTAATATTTATTTGAAATGATCAGAGCCACTAGTTTTCATCATACAATGTTTTGTATTTGTCATTGGGGAAAATGATTTTAAGTTCTGAAATGTAGTTACAGTATGTTTTCATAGTACAATGAACATGATTTCAAAAGATCAGGAAAAATTTTGAATCCTCATTATAACCCCTTTCAAGAAAGCAACATCTCAACAACACTGTGCTACTTCACAGTCTTTAGTTATTTCCTTTATCTTTGAAGATTGTATTAACAAGGCATTTGAAAAACACACCGAGAACCTTTTAAACAGCTAATAGAGCAAAACCACACAAACACACTCGAAAACTCTTCGATAACGACATAGACAGAGAGAACAAGATTCAATATAAGCTGCTACCTTATCTTATTGTGTGATCACTCTTTAATCATTTTGTTCTCTTTTCAACCACACACACACAGTGACAGGCGAGAGAGGGGGAAAGTTCTGGATGACTGCCTCTACAAAGGTCATTAATCTTCACTGACAATTTCACACACACACTATTACTCTAATGTAGTGGGTTCAGTTGGCACATATTAAACTGCTATTTCGCCATGCAGGCTGTTCTGTATCTCTATATAGACCATTTCACAAGATGTAAACAACACTGGTCCAGAAGCACTTCCTGTTTCAGTTTTTTAACACTACATAAAAGCTGGGATAAAATACAACCAACAGAACATTTAAAACTGAATCAAAAAGTTAAACAAACATCTTTAAGATGTTTTCTTTACATGTGAAATAAAGAAAACAGTTACAAACTGAAACAGGAAGTGCTTCTGGACCAGTGTTGTTTACATCTTGTGAAATGGTCTATACACACATGCACCTAAAGGATTATTAGGAACACCTGTTCAATTTCTCATTAATGCAATTATCTAATCAACCAATTACAAGGCAGTTGCTTCAATGCATTTAGGGGTGTGGCCCTGGTCAAGACAATCTCCTGAACTCCAAACTGAATGTCAGAACGGAAATATATGTATAATAATAATAATAATATAACAAATGTATAATAAAACTGTAATAAATGTATAATTACACTGTAATAAATGTATAAGATTGTAACAAATGTATAATTAATTTTTTTTCACTACTTAAAAAAAAAGAATCGCTACTTTTCCAAACAGAATCGCTACTTTTTTCCCAAAAGAATCGCTACTTTTTTCCCCAAAAGAATCGCTACTTTTTCAAAAAGAATCACTACTTTTTCCCAAAAAGAATCACTACTTTTTTCAAAAAGAATCGTTAATTTTTTTTCAAAAGAATCTCTACTTTTTCAAAAAGAATCAAAACTTATTCCAAAAAGTATCAATATTTTTTCCCAAGAATCGCTACTTTTTCAAAAAGAATTGCTACTTTTTTTTTCAAAAGAATCGCTACTTTTTCCAAATAGAATCAATATTTTTTTTCCCAAGAATCGCTACTTTTTCAAAAAGAATCACTACTTGTTAAAATCACTGGTTAAAATGTAACAAATGTATAATAACATTGTAATAAACGTATAATAACACTCTAATAAACATTATTAGACTCTAATAAATGTACTGTATAACACTGTAAACAATGTATAATTACATTGTAATAAACGTATAATGAAAAGAATCGCTATATTTCTAAAGAAAATTTACTACTTTTTCAAAAAATAATCAGTAAACAATGTAGCTGATTTAATGTTTAGATGACAGAATGTTTATTTTTAAACCACAAACCACAGATTTGAGAGATATTCGATGAACAGACACACAGACAGACGTAATTTATAGATAGATATCAGTATTTACTAAGAAAAGCCCCCCAAATAAGATGTGTATTACACTTTTATGGCAAAAAAGCATTGACATAAGCACAAAAATTGGCATTAATAGCATTCATTATTGTTAGTCTGTCTGAAGTCTGTCTTGTCTTGTATTCCATCTGCAATATTTTCTTTTACTGTCTTTGGCTTTTTGTTCTTTTTCAACCTCGTCCGCTGTGAAAATCTCCTTATTATGTAATGTATATAGCGTGTTAGTGGACGTGATTAATGTGCTCTATAATGAGGTGTATGTTATTGCATTTTCATTTTTTCTTTTAATAATTTTTAAATATAATTGTAATAATTAATTGCGCTAAATTAAAAATTAAATTGACTGCTGTATAAATAAGTAAAGAAAAAGTCTGTTAACTGAACTGGTAAAAATCCCACAAAAAGAGATTAAATTCAAAAAACTTTTTCCACGCACACAGACAAAAACAACGTTCCTCTTGCAAGTAAGCTTAATTCGGCTGTAATAACCCGTCCTCTTTTTAGTCTGTGTCCGCAGGGTTTGGATCACACTGAGCTCATGTGAGAGAGATGTGTTTAATCAGAGCAGATCCTGCTCTCCTCCTCTCCCTCGTACTGTCGTTACCTGTTTCTCATTCCACCCACAACTCTGCTTTGAATTTACGCTTTAGAAGACAGAGAGCTGACACAGAAGCAGAGCTCGCTCAAACACACACACACACACACACACACACACACGGTCTGTCTGTCTTTGTCTCTTTGCTCATTTTGTGCTTTTTATGCACTCTCTCACTCTCTCTCCCCATCTCTTCCACTTTCCTTTTCATGTGAAGAAAACATAAAAAGGTGCTGGATCTGTTGGATTTGCACCTCATCAGTCATACACACGCACACATACACAAATATCACAGGCTAGAGAAGGGAGTGTGTACTAGAACTGTGAAGCTCAGTAGATGCTAAAACTACAAATTATAAAACACAGTTGATGCTAAAAACAGCAGAGAGAGTGAAAAAAAGAAAGAATGAACAGTCCAAAATAAGGAATCATGTAAGGGATAAGCTTTCAGTTTTGCCGTTGTGGTTTTTCCTATGCAAGAACCACAATTGCAGGTTTCCATTGATATAATGTAGTTTTTGGCTTTGCTCACTAAAACCACACTTTTTAAAACCATACTTTTTAACTCGATACTGGGTTATAAAAAGCTGGTAAAGCTCACTCACACATTTACTTAACATATATGTGACGTGTGTGTGTGTGTGTGTGCGTGTGTGTGTGTATATATATATATATATATATACACACACACACATATATATATATATATATATATAAACAGTTATATTTTGAAATATTATCATTTTTAAAATTGCTGTGAATATATAGTAAAATGTGATTTATTCATGTGATCAAAGGTGAATTTTCAGCACCATTACTCCAGTCTTCAGTGTCACGTGATTCTTCAGAAAATATTCTAAGATGCTGATTTATTGCTCAAGAAACATATCGTCAATGTTTTTGCTGCTTAACATTTTTTTGGTGTAAACAATGATACAAATCAAACATTTGTGGTAAGACTAAAAAATAGATAAATTATTACTTGGATTCATCAAGAATGCATTAAATTCAACACTAAAGACATTAATAATGTCACTAAATGTGTTAATGCTTTAATCAATTTAATTAAAAAAATATTTTAAAAAATTAAATAAATGCTGTTAATTGAACCTTCTATTCATCAAATAATCCTTCAAATAAAACATTTAGCCTAAGTTTTTTAATTTGGTGCTCCAAAAAAACATTTTTTTTTAATGATAAATGTAGAAAATTATTGTGCTGCTTAATTTTTTTGTATGTTTTTACAGGATTCTTTGAATACCCAACATTATTTGAAATATATATATTTTTGTAACATTAAAAATGTCTTCATAGCCACTTTTGATCAATTTAATGCATCCTTGCTGATTATAAGTATTCTTTTTTTATATTACTAACCCCAAATCTTTAAGTGGTGATATATATATTTAATTAAAATCCATATTTAAATAATTGCATTTATATAAATAATTATATGAAATGTTACTTAAATGTATTATAATGCATTAGATTTTTTCACTTAAGAACATCCTCTAATGTTCCCAAAGGTATGTTTTGTCTGATTTATCTAACTTCTGGGGACATGCACTTCTTTTGTATAGCTAATTAAGAACAATAGTCTTACTGGGGGATTAGTCTTCCAGCAAATGTATTCCTTTGAAATGATTTAAACAATTTCCAAATTGCCTTGTCAGTAGAAAGTAAGCAAGACAAAGAGACAGAACAGACATAATAAATCAAACCGCAGCACAATTAATCAGGTTAAGAGAACAACTTCAGGCATCAGCTCATATTCTGCCCTGCTCTCTGGGACACCAGGCTGACAGATCATTCTCGAACTCCAGCAAAAGTCGACCACAAACTCGCTATTGGTCTGTGTAGCGGAGACACATTGGCACATGCACAGATCTAAAGAGTCATCCTCAACCCCAGAGTCTGCCCACACAGCCTGACCCAGAAACATACACATGATTTATGAGAAACATGAGTAACTGATATAAACACTCAAGTTCAAGGATGTAATTTATGTCAAAATGTGGAGGTGAAACTGCGCACATTCACATAGGCAACAAATTCTAATGTGAATTTATGAGTTTCTAGTGAGAACCATATTCTGAATGAAAAACACACACCGAGTGTGTTCAACCCAAAAGCTCCCTTATGAACTAGGATACTTTTATTGTGCTTTTTAGACATTTGTCCGCAGCAGAGGTTTAGAAGTGCGAACAACGTGATTTACAGTATGAACGACTTCTTTAGTTCATGCACACACACACAGAACCCAAATTGACTACAAAGAATTGCACAGTAACGTGTGAAACACACCCTGCTGTGGTGACACCCAAATGTACCATAAGGTGAAAAGACCGCAGCAAGATTTTGCCAACCGTACACACACACACACACACACTTACACATCTCTCCAGGAACTATCATCCTGTCTGCTCAGAAACCGCTTTCTGTCGAGGTGCTGGAAGCATTTAAACCATGTGTGTGCTTGACGTCCATTCAACAGTTTGGGTTAAAGCTTTCCATGACCTGAATCTATCAGCGAGACAGAGGAGGTTTATTTAAGAATCGAAATGTTGAGTTGGGGATCTGAACAAATCCTGCAGTCTGTAATCTAGGTCATTAGGAAGTCTCTTTAATTCTCACACACACAGACAGAGAATGTAGGCAACACCCAGTCGAGGAGGTAAAACATCCATCGAAATTGGGGGGGAGGTGAAAGAGGGGAAAAAAGAGAGGTAGGAACACCTATCCCGCCTGCCAAAATCTCTGTGGCTGCTCTAGGTTCCATCCATCTCAAAGCAAGAGAGAAACAGTTATGTCTGTAGCACTGCAAGCCAAGAGTGTAACAGACAGACAGGTAAAATAGGAGAAAAGTTATAACAACTCCAACCAAATGCCATGTGAGAGCGTATGCGTGTGTGAGGTTAGCGCTGTAACATGATCGTGTTGACACAACGCCACATCAGTGCTGAAAGAATGTTCTGGCTACCCATGTATCCCTGCTGTTCAGAGTCAGAGCCTGAGGCAGAGTGTGTGTGTGTCTGTGTGTGTTTGAGACAGAGGGAAGGTAGCACGTGTTCTCTGTGTACTCAAAGGGGAAGGGTAATCACATAATTTAAATGAGCATGACTTTTACATCATGGTGGGCTCTGATTTATTTTTTTGTGATGACTGTGATTTGTGTTCAGACTGAAACTTTAGAGATCCAGGAAACATATGGATGTTTAATGACCGTTGAAAACACGTCCCTCCGACACTGTTGAAAAATAGTTGCAAAATGAAAGTTTAACGGACATTGACGTTATCTGTTAGATATTTTTACCGATTTATGTCGTCCTACCGCTACTATTTTTGGCCAGGGACACAATGTTTGCTGGGGAGTTTTTTTTAGTCTATTGAAAGTGTATTGTTTCCTAATTTTTCTTATGAAGTCACATTCAAAATACACTGTAAAAAAATTGTTTTCAAGATTTGTTATTACAACATTTTTTATTTTGTCAAATCAACTTAAATAATTTATTTAGTTCAGATAACGTATTATTTCGAGTTTCTGATGATTAAATCAATCTCCTTTTTCCAGTTCAATCAACTTAAAATTTTAAGGCAACCAGGTTATTTATTTTAAACCAACAGTATTTTTTACAGTGCAAAAATGCTTTGTTTAATTTAGCATTACTGTTAATATTATTAAGCCTATTAATGGGTGAAAAACTGACTCAGCATATTATTCTGCAATGGGTAAAAGATGACACAGAATGAGTAATTCATTTCTTTAAATATATATATTTTTTACTGACCCCAGACTTTTTAATGCTGGTATAATGTGCTAATTCATATACCTGAGTCATATACTTGGGCAGAGAGATAAAGAGTGTAGTGCGATTATCCAAAAACCTGACTGTGGAGAATGTGTTTGTACCTTATTTGATGACTGTACAGTTCTCACCAGGTTCAATATGTAATTTTGATCTACAGTTTCTTTTGTGGGTGTTTGAATGAGGTGAGCCTTTGAATGAGTCAGTTTGACAGGAAAACGATCTGCACAGGATGTGCCGTGTCCCTCCCAAACCACAGTTTTCTGAAACTGCCCTTGTTAAAAGTTTTAGATGATTATAAGCAGCCCGCAGACTCCTCAGAAGTCTCTTGAAGTAAATCCTCACTGTGCGCAGACACAAATGACTGGAATGGACTGATGAGAACCACAGGCGGTAAACGATTGCGTGGGTTTTCCTTTGTGCCTGCTGTAGATCGAGGGATCAATGTGTGGCAGTATGCCAGACGCTCTTAAACTGGCACAGTGATCTCAGGGGGAATACCCACATGCACACAAACACACACACACTCTTTGCCCCCTGGCACCAGGAACAGATGCCACAGCCATCGCAGTGAACCCATTGCTTATAATAAAGCAAGAAACAATCCCACTCACACACACATGCCATCTCAGCCACGCACAATAGCGTCTCTCTCTCTTGCACAACATGAACAGCAACAATAGCCTTACACACAGATGTGCAATTGCCTTACACCACACAGACACCAATGCACAATTTTCCTGTGCAGCAGTAATTGTGCATTCACGAGGACAGATATAAACACTCTGCGTCCATCTGTAAAGGTATTGTGCTTTCATGTTGTACACTTCATCTCCTTCTAAGGGAATCTAGCAGTAACAGAATTCTGGCATCGTGCCCTTAAACACACACATAAGTGTTTTAATGTGTGAAAAGAACATTGTGTGTGTGACCTCACTGTCATTAGCTTTAGAGATTAAAAGTGTGATTGCAGTAAATGTAACAAACCATAATTAATAAATGCAGGAATAAAGACCTTGGTTTATCTCAATATGTGTGTGTTTTAATATATTTATTTGGCTGAATATATAGTTTAGCCTATATTATAGACATCAAATAATATTAAAAAAATAGGAGCATTTTTTTAGGACCATTGTGTGGTATAATATATCAATATGTTAGACATAATAGACAAATATGTTCAGTAGATATAAACTAGTGAAGGCAAAAGGGGTGTTTAGTTTAGAGGACGTAATACACTTTGCCTTTTGCACTTTGCCTAATGTCCCATAACGCAGTAGACTTGTGTACGAGTGCTTGAACGAAACAGATGTTGGATGTAACACACTTCAGAGATCATAAGTGTAGTTTTTCTGTGTTGGCACTGTGCCATATCTGTCTGCCTCCGCGGAGACTGGTGTCGCGGAACTCTGATACCCGATCAATATGTTCAGTAGATATTACTCAGGCTTACCTCTAATTATGGTGATGGCTAAGTCAAAGATGTGTTGTTATGAAGTGCACTCAGATGTGTCGGTACGGTCGAGCTCTGTTTTTCTCCTATGGGTTCCGCTTCTGTAGTCCCGCTGTGTTCATCAATAACTACTTATCCACGATCCATCAGCGCGCGCTTCTCCGACTTATAATAGTCTAATCGATAGGGTTCGACGGAAAATATACCATCCAAAGCCAAGCAGTCAGTCAGCGCACGAACAAAGCCGCTGTGATGTGAAGGAATCTCCGCTGTGTCCGCGCACTCGCGCAGGTCGCTCCGCTTTGTGCCTCAGTGACCTCACCGGTAGACGGTGCGACGTTGCAGTGTTTGCTTTGAACTGAGCTAGTTAACGTCAGCGGACACGAGTAGCGTCGACCCATTCCTCGGAATAAACAACAGGAGATTTTTCCCTCAGGACCAGTCTCGTCCTGTCCCAGCAGCAGCAATGCTTCCTCGGTGGTTTGTGTGTGTATCTGGTTTTGGTCAGAGGAGCTGCGTTAACTTGCGCCCGGGAGCGCGCAGCATAAGTGGAGCGGGCGGGCACGTGGCCAATCATCTGTTAGATATTTCCTCTTTCAGGAGCGGCGGTCCGTATTTTCCATCCGCGCTCCTGATCTCTTTTCTCCGGTGTTCCCTGTAGAAGAGGTAGAGTTCAATCCAAGTCGTACCGATTTTTGGTTCTTTGCCTGCGATACAAGTCCCTCCATCACTCTCCACCCTCTCACACGCGCAAACTTGTACACTTAGTGTAAAAGACTCCAATAGACATGATTTTTAGAGTTTATTGGCAAATATCACACAAACGCACACACACACGTTTACATTAGCTGATTATAATCAGCTACCACATTTTTGAAGACTTTTAGAACAACTCTAAACAGACTCTTGCAAGTATAGATTTTTATTTAATTATTTATTGTTTCATTATTATTGTTATCATTATTTTATTTATTGATTTACAAATGACATATGTCATAAAATCGATGATTTTACTATATACTTGAGGCCTTTAAAAAAAGAAAAACCCTTACAACAAGACACACAGAGACAGACAAAATCTTTTTTCTTGCTCAGTTTGCCTTTAACTGACTCCAGGTTCCAAAAACACACCCTGTTTCTAGTTAGAAGCAGACATACACTTCTGTGCCAGATTCCGTAATTTATTTTCTTGTGTGAAAAGCAGCCCTGTGTTGAAGTACTTTTCCAGGTGACTGGGAGCTCCAGAGAGAAAATGCATCTTTTAAATAAATGGAAACCATGCATTGTGGTTTAATGTATGCCACTAGTGAATCTCTCTCCCTGTCCTTTAGTATGTAGCAATGGTGAATTGATTGTAATAAGCAGGACCATGTTTTAGAAAACATTTATTTCTATTTATTTCTGCTCTTATTTCAGCAGTAGAGGACACCTTTTGATTTATGAATTATATCTTTAGACACACACTAGTTTTGACGACTCATTCCGCCTCTATTCTTATAGAATGGTTCGGTTTCTGCTACATTAAAGTAGTAAGGTCACAGAGTTCAGATTTGTCTTTATTCACTCCAGCCAAGCAGCGGGAATAAATATTGACTTGCAGGGAGCTGCTGTCCATGTTTATGCACTCTGAAGAGAGCTCTTTCCTTCAGGATAAAACTGAAAGTTTAATGGGCCCTTCAAAACACACTCTCCTCATGCAGACAAGCACTTAGTAGGGTTGTGACGTGTCATGTCTACTTATTTATGAGCATCCAAAGTGCATATGACAGGGGAGGTACATGAACGTATTGATTGGTATGATAGTAAATGTATGTTTGAGGTAAATGCTCTCATAAAGCTGCAGTCCGTAGCTTTTTTGGGGTTAAAAATTATCCAAAATACATATTTGAGAAAATACATAACCAGCCAGTGTTCAAAACTATCTGCTTGCCTTAGCTCGATTCAAAGTGGTAAGCTTGAAATGTTTTTAAATTCCCGTGGTTCGAGCATGTCTTTGCGTCATTACGTCACATCTATACACATAAAAAAGAGTCTCGGCTAGTCGGCTATATTGAGTCATTACGTCATACACATAAAGAAGAGTTGCGGCTAGTAGACTATATTGAGTCATTACGTCACATCTGTGCACATAAAGAAGAGTCTCGGCTAGTCGGCTATATTGAGTCATTACGTCTCATCTGTACACATAAAGAAGAGTCTCGGCTAGTCGGCTATGTTGAGTCATTACGTCACATCTGTACACATAAAGAAGAGTCTCGGCTAGTCGGCTATATTGAGTCATTACGTCACATTTGTACACATAAAGAAGAGTCTCGGCTAGTAGGCTGTATTGAGTCATTACGTCACATCTGCACACATAAAGAAGAGTCTCAGCTAATAGGCTGTATTGAGTCATTACGTCACATCTGTACACATAAAGAAGAGTCTCGGCTAGTCGGCTATATTGAGTCATTACGTCACATCTGTACACATAAAGAAGAGTCTCGGCTAGTAGGCTGTATTGAGTCATTACGTCACATCTGTACACATAAAGAAGAGTCTCGGCTAGTCGGCTATGTTGAGTCATTACGTCACATCTGTACACATAAAGAAGAGTCTCGGCTAGTCGGCTATATTGAGTCATTACGTCACATCTGTACACATAAAGAAGAGTCTCAGCTAGTCGGCTATGTTGAGTCATTACGTCACATCTGTACACATAAAGAAGAGTCTCGGCTAGTCGGCTATGTTGAGTCATTACGTCACATCTGTACACATAAAGAAGAGTCTCGGCTAGTCGGCTATATTGAGTCATTACGTCACATCTGTACACATAAAGAAGAGTCTCAGCTAGTAGATTATATTGCGTCATTACGTCACATCTGTACACATAAAGAAGAGTCTCGGCTAGTCGGCTATATTGAGTCATTACGTCACATTTGTACACATAAAGAAGAGTCTCGGCTAGTAGGCTGTATTGAGTCATTACGTCACATCTGTACACAAAGAAGAGTCTCGGCTAGTCGGCTATATTGAGTCATTACGTCACATCTGTACACATAAAGAAGAGTCTCGGCTAGTCGGCTATGTTGAGTCATTACGTCACATCTGTACACATAAAGAAGAGTCTCGGCTAGTCGGCTATGTTGAGTCATTACGTCACATCTGTACACATAAAGAAGAGTCTCGGCTAGTCGGCTATATTGAGTCATTACGTCACATCTGTACACATAAAGAAGAGTCTCAGCTAGTCGGCTATGTTGAGTCATTACGTCACATCTGTACACATAAAGAAGAGTCTCGGCTAGTAGGCTGTATTGAGTCATTACGTCACATCTGTACACATAAAGAAGAGTCTCGGCTAGTCGGCTATATTGAGTCATTACGTCACATCTGTACACATAAAGAAGAGTCTCAGCTAGTCGGCTATGTTGAGTCATTACGTCACATCTGTACACATAAAGAAGAGTCTCGGCTAGTCGGCTATGTTGAGTCATTACGTCACATCTGTACACATAAAGAAGAGTCTCGGCTAGTCGGCTATATTGAGTCATTACGTCACATCTGTACACATAAAGAAGAGTCTCAGCTAGTAGATTATATTGCGTCATTACGTCACATCTGTACACATAAAGAAGAGTCTCGGCTAATATAATCTATATTGCGTGTGAGGATGTTGTAGGTGGAGATTTATAGCCTTTTCTCACAGCACTTGATAATTAAACTGATCAATTTGATGGGGGATCCAGAAATGTTCAAAAGACAATCACCAGTGACAACAGATTGACCCGCTGTAAAATGCAAGACTTCATTCAGACTTCAGAGTGGCTACAGAAGAAAAGAGACTGCAACCGATCCCATGCGAAAACAAGGATATATCGGAAGGATATTACATGTAGACAATAACCCACTATATTTACCAAATGTCCCGGGACCACTCCCGGGCCACGCCCCCGTCCCACGAACCCACTATTTGTCCAATAACCCACTATATTTACCAAATGTCCCGGGACCACTCCCGGGCCACGCCCCCGTCCCACGAACCCACTATTTGTCCAATAACCCACTATATTTTTTAAAGATTTTCTGCAGTTCATTCAGTATGCTGCAATTGGACTCCAGAGTAGTGTTTTTGATAGACATTTTAATTAAAGTTCCTGTCGTGAAAAAAACTATTTTACCGCACTCAGGAGAACCCACGGGGTCTGTAGCACCAAGCGCCGTCCCAAAATTCCACTCTCCGCGCACTCACTATTTGTCCAATAACCCACTATTTTTAAATATACTAACCCCAGCCTTCATGCAATAACCTGCAATTGGACACAATCCCACCAGCAATCTATTGAATGATGATTCAGACAGTTTATTTGATGTGGACATTTTAATTAAAGTTCCTGTCATGATGAAAACCATTTACTGCACTCATCTGGGGCCCCTGAGTCCGTGGCACCAACCGCTATCCCATAATTCCACTGTCCACAAACCCACTATTTGTCCAATAACCCACTATTTTTGAAAAGTACTAACCCCAGCATTCATGCAATAAGCTGCAAATGGACAGAATCCCACCTGCAATCTATTGAATGGGGTTTCGGGTATATTTAATAGACATTTTAACTTAAGTTCCTGTCATGATAACTATTTTACTGCACTCAGCAGGCCACCCCGGGGTCTGTAGCAGCATCGCACTATTTTTATAATGGCATAAATGCAGAAAAAACGTTTCTCTGATCTTCTCGAAACTCTGTATTTTGATAGAGGGCCATGAGACTTAGACCTGAGTGCAAAAATGGAGACTCTAGACCCTAACAGAGCTGAGATATGGAGATCCCACGTAGCATTTATCCCACTGGCATAAATGCTACGTGGGATGTCCATATCTCAGCTCTGGAAGGGTCTAGAGTCTCCATTTTTGCACTCAGGTCTGAGTCTCATGGCCCTCTATCAGAATCCAGTGTTTCAAGAAGATTGGAGAAACTTATTTTTTAGCACCAAAAAAAAAACGTAAGGGGTACCACTGTGGTTTTTTTTTTTTGGATCGAAATTTTGAATTGCTTTGATCTTCTTGAAACTCTGGATTCTAATAGAGGGCCATGAGACATAGACCTAAATGCAAAAATGGAGGCTCCAGACCCTTCCAGAGCTGAGATATTGAGATATTTGGATTCTGATAGAGGGCCATGAGACTTAGATCTGAGTGCAAAAATGGAGGCTCTGGACCCTTCCAGAGCTGAGATATTGACGTCCCACGTAGCATTTATGCCATTATAAATATCTCAATATCTCAGCTCTGGAAGGGTCTAGAGCCTCCATTTTTGCACTCAGGTCTAAGTCTCATGGCCCTCTATCAGAATCCAGCGTTTCAAGAAGATTGGAGAAACTTATTTTTTAGCACCAAAAAAAAAAAAAAACGTAAGGGGTACCACTGTGGTTTTTTTTTCAGGTCGAAATTTTGAGTTGCTCTGATCTTCTTGAAACTCTGGATTCTGATAGAGGGCCATGAGACATAGACCTGAG